GACAAGAGCTCCTGAAACCAAGCTTGCCTCGGCCACAGAGGGGCTCTCAGAAGTAAGGAGCAGTGATGCTCCCAGAACTTCTGTAGAACCCTGCCCACCAGGTTGAAGGGAGGGAATGCATATGCATACGTCCCTTCCTATTCCAGAGAAAGGGCGTCCACAGCCCACGCCTTACGGTCTGGGACCGGGGAGACGAAGGTTAGCAGCTGGTTGTTCAGGGAAGTGGCAAACAGGTCTATAATAGGTCTGTCCCACGCCTGACAATTCCCCTTGAAAATCAAGGGACACAGCTGCCATTCCGTCAACACCGGCTGGTGGCGCCTGGAGAGTGGCCACCAACACACTCAGCCTGCCAGAAAGATGCTTGACCGCTATGGTCAACTGCATGTCCTGGCAGAGAAGATGGATGTGGATGGAAAGGGCACACAGGACATGAGACCTGGTGGCCCCTGTCTCTCCAGATACGCGACAACTGTTGTCGGTAGCCACACTTTGGACTGCAGGATACCCCTAAAGGACTGCAGAGCCAAATGAACAGTCTCATCTCGAGTACACTGATGTGCTCTGAGAGTTATTCGCCAGACCACTCCCCCATCGAGGTAAGCTCACATTCCTGTCATGAACGCGTCCATGAACAGGATCATAGAGGGGATAGGCTTGGTCAGAGGTACCCCGTGGAAAACGTTCTCCTGAATGGTCCACCAGCAAGAGAACTCCCTGACCGACTGGGTAAGCGGGATCCAGGCCTCCTGGATGACGGAACCCAGTCAGACAGGAGGAACATCTGGAGAGGTCCGATGTGAATCCTCCCTAGGGGGACCACATATGCCAAGGAGTTGAGATACCCCAGAAAACTGAGGAACCAATGTACCTGGACAAGCGACCAAGTGATGAAAGTCAGAGCCAGAGCCCTGACCTTCTCAAACTTCTCCAGAGGTGGAAGGGCTAAGCCCCGAACCATGTCAAAATGGTTCCCCAGGAAGAAGAAGTCCTAATATGAAGGAACCTCTGACTTCTCTCTGGAAGGAATGAAGCCGACTCTGAGCAAGAGTTTCAGGACCAGACGAGTGTCCTTCACTAACGATTCCCACACCAAAAGAGGCATGAGGGAGTCGTCGAAATAGATGTGGACGTCTATTCTGCAGGAGTGAAGGAAACACCAGCAGCAACTTGGTGAACACCAAAGGAGCTGTCGTGAGCCCCAAGGGCATCTCTGCCTTGGCAGCATGGTCCCTACTTCCTCCTGGAGCACCCGTGCCCTTTCTGAATCCCCGGGAGGAGGAAAGAAACAAAAACGGCCAGGAGGCGAGGGACGAATCCTGAAGAAGGGGAATACCTAGACCCTCCCTGACCACCGACAAAAGCCCAAGCGTCCTCTGTAATATCCTGCCACTAGGAAAGGAAAGCAGAGAGACGTCCGCCCACAGGGAGTTCCGGATGGGGCAGATCGAGCCCCTGCCAGACCAGAGAATCGTCTGCCCACCCGGAGCCTGAGCCTGCAGGAGAAGGACATGAGCCCGGGAAAGGAGAACCACCGTCCACCCGGCCATACCCTTCGCCTTTAGCGGCCAAGAAGCAGAAATAGTCAGGAACCCTTCTTCTTGCCCCCAGGAGGTTTCTTACCCTTCCTACCCTTCCCCTTGTTGCCGTTGAAGTGAGGTTGGGACTTGGGCTGTGCAGAAAACTGAGCAGCCGAAGACTTCGCCTTCTTCTTAGGAGGCACTGACCCCTGCGAGGCACTGGCCTTCTCAGCCTGAAACCTCTTCACCAGAAGTGCTGAGGCGACCGAGTCCTCCTTCATATCCTTCTGAACCCAAGGAAGAGCTCCCCTGAACAGGGTAGAGCCCTAGAAGGGGGCATTCAACAAGCGGAAACGGTAGGGTTACTGGACTGGGCGGAATTTCAGAACTGAAAACTGCCTAGCCAACACGGCATTGACGAGCAGAGAACCTGCAAGGCTGCCGTGTCCTGTATGTCGGCCGTTCTGTCTCGGATAACCGACACTCAGGCAAATCGGATACCCTGTATAGACAAACTGTCAGGAAGTCTATGTATGACAGAACTTGGATGGAGAGGTGCAACATTCTCTCCATCCTGTGGTGCTCTTTGGGATCGAGCACCACCTGGTCCACTGATTTGCCGGGCCAGGCAGCCAGCTGTCTCAACTCCAGCTGTGCTGGTTGAGAGGCCAGCTGCCCATCATGTGTGGCATAGTCGGAAGCTGAAGCCTCCGACAATTCACCAACACCGAGCTGCAGACCGACAAACCCGAGAGCACGGGTAGAGAAGGAGTCCTTCTCTAAAACCGGAGCCCGGGCCGTGGCCAGAACCGAAGACATGATATTGCCTTCTGGCAGAGACCGATCTGAGCGAACGGAAGCCCGAGGAGCCACCAGGGAACCCAGAAGGATGGTGGATTCAGGCGCCGACGATGCTGAGGCGGTGGGCAAACCTCCGCCCTGAGAATCCGGGAGATGTTGGCCCGGAGGACCCGCATCCCAGAAAGCACATGCTGAGCCTCAGCTTCAGCAGTCTCAGGGCCATCTTCCCCTTGTGAACCCTCTTGGCCCAGGAGAAAGATGAATGACATCGTCTTCCTCTGCCGAGCCCGCACCCTCGATGTCCATCTCCTCCTCAATAGAGACCGAAGTCCCCTTGGGAGGAACAGGGGCCGCCAGAGGAGCCATCTCCGCAGAGGGGAACTCCTCTTTATGGCATTTGGACGCAGCGCGACCAACAGCTGTAGCTGTAGGCTTGGGTCGGAGACCCGAAGCCGACCCCTGGGAACAGGAGACCGACGGGTCCGCGCTGGAGGCGGAAGTCCTTAAGGTCTGGCAAACCTTTATAGGACCGGCCAACAAGGCCCCCGAAGTAGCAGAACATTGGGGGGGATTCCGCACTGCTATAACATCTCCTAGAGGAGAGACCAACCCCTATGGGTTCCACGAGTGAAGACCCATGGGGTAAAAACCCAAACCCCTGAGGGAATGGGAACGGTCCAGCGGGCCGGGAGTGACCCCAGAACTGGCCAAGATGGCCTGCCTGAGTCTGGGGCTGGACATCCTGTCCAAAGGACCAGGATGAACCGCCACTCCCACCAGGTGGAAACCCAGACATGTACAGGCTAAGCCCGTAACTGCTGAGTAACTGTTGGTACCCAAAACCATCCGCAGGTTGGCCTGGGCGACCCAGGAATAAGTGCCCGCAGGCACCCCTACTCCCTGAGCCCGGGGGAAAGGGAGACCGGAAACCGGACTCCTGGCCTGAAGCCCCAAACCCTTGGAGGAAAACCCCCTGGGAAACCCTGCACTGGGAAATCTGGATTGGGACGGAAGTCCCAGAGCCAGAAGCCTGTGAGGGTGGGAAAACAGACCCCGCGCTGACACCAGGATTAGTGAACTCAAGTGTCACTAATCCCCGTAGCCACAGACAATCCTGACAAAAAGTCTGTGGCCCCTGAACCTATACCCGAAGGCACAGTTCCGGAGTCAAAGCGGCCCCCACCAACGACGCCACCTGGCGTGCCGAGGTCCCTGAAGGAATCAGAGACCTCGACCGGAAGTCCCTTTCCGACGGTAACACCGCCGCCTATCGAGAGCTACCGGCCAATTCGACCCTTGACTGCGCCGAGTCAGGGTCGGGCTGCCCCCCCCTACTCCAGGACGCACCTGGACAGGGGGAGCCACCCCCTGCTGAAGGGCGGAGCTCGGTGGAACGAGAGCACCCCCAGCAGAAACGCTCTGGTTCAGAACTTCAGGAGGGAGGTCTTAAAAAGCTTACTTCCCTTACCGGAAGAAGAGGACGAATCCCTCTTCCGGCGGAAAGTAAGCTGGAAAGGCATGGGAGCCTAAGCAGCAGACTCCATGTGCAAACAAAGTTCACATAGTGAGGTCTGGCTGTAATGTCGGCAAATGGGACAGGTATCATGGGGTTCCCATTATCTATAGAAATAGGAACATCCATGCGCTGACCCCCGACGTAAACCCGGCACCTTTATCCAGCATCGAAACAATAAAAAATTGTAACAATGAAAACAAGGATAAAAAGTTTTCTAACAATCAAAAAACTACGAACGAGATCATAAAACCTACCGTACGCAGCAAGATTGTACTGCAAAAAAAGAAAACGGTCGTACAAAACGGCCGACAAAGCAGCAAGAAAACAATTTCAACTTCACGAAAATCCGAGTGACGAGACAAGTAGTCACTCACTCGAACACGCGGAGTAAAAACACGGCCGGAAACGAAGTTCTCGAACAATCAAAAAAACTACGAACGAGAGCACAAAGCCTACCGTACGCAGCAAGATTGCACTGCATAAATAAAACGGCCGTACAACACGGCCGACAAAGCAGCAAGAAAACAAATTCCAACTTCACGCAAATCCGAGCAACGAGACAAGTAGTCACGCACTCGAATACGTGGAGGAAAAAAACGGCCGGAAATACGGTCAAAATAAACAAATGACAATACTTAATTTCACAATATAAGTTGGGAGATGGGTTTATAGACTACTAATAGAGTAACAATATACTCAAACGACAATGGCAGTACGAAGAGAAGGAGTAAGAAAAGCACTTAGCTCAGACACCTCCGCACTCGTCGGCAGCCATAAAGGTAAGAGGAAGGGAGATCACTCTGCGTTCCTGCCGTGATGGCTCATGGATCGTAGGGAGGGCGGGATTGTTTTTCTTTTGAATCTTTTGTTGTTGGGATACAAAGATGGGTGTAGGTACTGTATTTGCATACTAAAGTTATGGTAATTATTACTGAAATGAAAATATGTTTTATCACTTTGTGATGCTTTTTAAAGTAACAATCATTACATATTGTATTGAAATTTCTGATATAGCAAGATTAATGCTCATCTTGATAAGATGTGTTATGATGTTGTTATTTATAGTTCAATATTGATGGGACAGCTATTTCATTTATTCAGTTTAAATTTTATAATTTTAATGTTATGTGAAATCAAAGTAATTATATATTGTTATGTTTTAGGTGGATGGTCATCACTTAACACTAACCCAGGTCAATACATTCAGGCCATATTCTACAACACTGTAGTGATGAAAGGAGTGACCACTGTCGGTCGGTCAGATGCAGATGAATGGGTGGTCACTTACAAACTCCAATACCAGTACGATCCCTACTCAGAGTGGGTATGGTATGAAGAGCCACCAGGAACTGTAAAGGTTAGTGGTATAGACCAAACAGGGTCACCGTAAGTGTACGTGGTACCATGCGCCACCAGGAACTGTAAAGGTTAGTGGTATAGACCAAACAGGGTCATCGTAAGTGTGTGTGGTACCATGCGCCACCAGGAACTGTAAAGGTTAGTGGTATAGACCAAACATGGTCACCATAAGTGTGCGTGGTACCACGCGCCACCAGGAACTGTAAAGGTTAGTGGTATAGACCAAACAGGGTCACCGTAAGTGTGCTAATGTGTGTGGTTCCACGCGCCACCAGGAACTATAAAGGTTAGTGGTATAGACCAAACAGGTCACCTTAAGAGAGGTAGAGTGTGTGGTTCCAGGGGCCCCCAGGAAGATGTAGGTTAGCGTTACAAAAAAAAAGGGTCACCTTAAGACAGGTAGGATGTATGGTTCCAGGAGCCCCCAGGGAGATGAAGGTTAGTCATATACAGAAAACAACAAGGTCACCTTCAGACAAGTACTATCCAGATGTGTGGTATGAGGATCCCTAGGGATGGATGATAGCAATAAGTTTTTTGAGGAAAAATTCATTTGATGTAGGTAGATATTTTTTACTTAATTACTTTGTGACTTCTTGATAATGAAAATATATAAATTTTTGTGGTAAAGAGATATATTAATATTATTCTCTAAATTATATTTGCCAGATCTTCAATGGTAACCAAGATTCTGACACCCCTGTAACTAACAAAATACAGTTTCCTATAGAGGCTCGAGGCATCAAACTTTTCCCTTTGTCCTGGCATAATGGCATATCCTTACGCTGGGAGATTCTTGGCTGCATACAAGGTAAGTAGACAAACAGTTCACATTAAACAATTCAATATCTGGACAAATAATAATGTGTGTCTTGTACCCTTGATTTACAAAGCTCTTAACAATTTTAAGCTGAGAAAAATTCAGGTAAGTCTTTATGTGTTTGAAAATTAAGCTTTCTTTGAAGTAACATAAATCACTTGTGTCTTAAAGTTAAAATAAATCATTATTTTCAAACCTTACTGAATTCTGTGACTGAAAATAAAATTCTCGCTTGATCTGATCACACTTCAGATTTCTGTGCTCCTGACTACAGTGTAAGTGGACCTTTAGTTGTCCCAGACAGAGCCATCACTTCATCAACTATTTCTGACTCCGCCCACTCAGCTACAGCAGGCAGACTCCATCCAATCACAATGAGTGGGACACCGTCCTGCTGGCGTGCCCAGTTTTCAGACAGTAACCTTCAGTGGCTGCAGGTTGACCTTGGGAGAACAAAGATCATCCGAGGGATCACCACTGCTGGTAACCCTGATGCTCAGGAGTGGGTGACCTCATTCAAGGTCCTGTACAATATCAATGGTCCCAACTATAACTACAACTATTACTCCGAGCCGTATGGACGGGTCAAGGTAGACAACATAAACACATATCATTCTTCATCTTTTTTTAGAATACATTCTTTGTTATTTTTACAGCAACCATTTAAGATTTATTTTTTGCTTTTTATTAAAAAGTCATGTTTGGTACTTTGATAATAAAAAAAAGAAATTTGTAAAAATGCTAAATTTTCATTTGATTTAATGACCTTAAAACTGCACAGCAATAACAAAATTTAAATTTTGAAAAATGAATGTAATCCTTTATTCAACCATCTTCTAGAATTGAACTTATTTAAAGCCTTTGATGCATGCATAGAGAAATTTTCAAAGATTTATTTTCATAATCCAAAAAAGAGAAGGATGCTGTATTTGATGTTTTGCAATTTTCACTAAATAGCCAGTTTTTTTGAGATCAAGAAACAAGCTTTGATATCTGTTTTTGAGTCTTAAGAATCAAAGAAAGTGATCCAGTAAGTTAGAATTCACTAATTTGAAATCTGTTATTTGTGGTGATAGTTCATGCAAAATATAGCGGAAATCATCTCAAGACTTGTAGAGTTGTACTCAAGAGAAAAACCTCAACAAAGAATAAATGTTGAAGTTGATTATGTTGTCAACTACACAATCAACTACACTGTCAACTGTCAACTACACTGTCAACTACACAATCAACTACACTGTCAACTACACTGTCAACTGTCAACTACACTGTCAACTGTCAACTACACTGTCAACTGTCAACTACACTGTCAACTACACAATCAACTACACTGTCAACTGTCAACTACACTGTCAACTGTCAACTACACTGTCAACTACACAATCAACTACACTGTCAACTACACTGTCAACTACACTGTCAACTGTCAACTACACTGTCAACTACACAATCAACTACACTGTCAACTGTCAACTACACTGTCAACTACACTGTCAACTACACTGTCAACTACACTGTCAACTGTCAGCTACACTGTCAACTACACTGTCAGCTGTCAACTACACTGTAAACTACACTGTCAACTACACTGTCAACTGTCAACTACACTGTCAACTGTCAACTACACTGTCAACAACACTGTCAACTACACTGTCAACTGTCAACTACACTGTCAACTGTTAACTACACAATTAACTGCACTGTCAACTACACTGTCAACTGTCAACTATACTGTCACCTGTCAGCTACACGGACAACTACACTGTCAACTACACAATCAACTACACTGTCAACAACACTGTCAGCTGTCAGCTACACTGTCAACTACAATGTCAACAACACTGTCAGCTGTCAAGTACACTGTCAACTGTCAACTACACTGTCAACTACACTGTCAGCTGTCAACTACACTGTAAACTACACTGTCAACTACACTGTCAACTGTCAACTACACTGTCAACTGTCAACTACACTGTCAACTGTCAACTACACTGTCAACTGTCAACTACACTGTCAACAACACTGTCAACTACACTGTCAACTGTCAACTACACTGTCAACTGTTAACTACACAATTAACTGCACTGTCAACTACACTGTCAACTGTCAACTATACTGTCACCTGTCAGCTACACGGACAACTACACTGTCAACTACACAATCAACTACACTGTCAACAACACTGTCAGCTGTCAGCTACACTGTCAACTACAATGTCAACTACACTGTCAGCTGTCAACTACACTGTCAACTACACTGTCAGCTACAATGTCAACTGTCAACTACACTGTCAACTGTCAACTACACAACCAACTACACTGTCAGCTACACTGTCAACTACACTGTCAACTGTCAATTACACTATCAACTACACTGTCAACTACACTGTCTAAACATTCAGTCCACAGGTAAAACATCTTATGAAGTACCCTTCTTTCAGCTGATAAGAACTATGGGTAACAAAGTATATATAAAAACATGAAAGTCTAAGGTATGAATAAATGTCCAACCGTAAGTCAAACAACAGAGGTGTGCATCCTTAATGTACATTATAGTGAAAGTGAATTACTTAAAACATTTTGATTGAATTTTTTTGCTCTTTTCAAGTGTGAAAGAACAATTGCTAAAAAATGGAATATAACACCTTCAAAACAAAATCAGAACAAAATTTGTTTTAACCTTTAACCTTTTCAGTGTAACAAGCCTTTACACAACTACATATACTTCATCCTGTCAGAGATTTTTGTGTTGAATTGGGTACAAGTCTTCTGTCATGCTCAAATGCTAAAATGTATTTCATTTTTTTGTGATTTTTGTGTTGGATTGGGTACAAGTCTTCTGTCCAGCTAACTGTTGATCTTTTATCATCCATCAGAATTCTTGGAATAATGATCATGTCTGGTTTTATCTCTTTGGTACAGGCTCTACCCGGTAACACAAACAACAATGAGACAGTGACCTACTTTTTTAAGGGTCACTTTACAGCTCGGTTCATAAAAGTTGAACCACTTACATTTCACACTTGGATATCCCTAAGGATAGATATTCTAGTTTGCGCTATTGGTGAGTAGATGAATAAATGAATTGTCGTGGTCTGAAATGAAAATATGACATTGTTATGTTTTATGTACATGTTAATGACCTTTTAGTGTGTGAAACAAATACTGTTATCTGAAATTATCAACCCAGATTAAAAACCTGCTTTATTTTCTCATTTATTAACCCTAAGGCTGCAGTGGAGTGCCTTTGATCAATGGTAACAACAAGATTGGCGATGATAAACTAACAGCTTCTTCCAAAATTGACCCTGAGCATGGTCCATTTCGTAGTCGTCTTGGTGTACCTGCCATGGGCAGATATGGAGGGGCATGGACTGCAAAATTCAATGATGCTCATCAGTACATCCAGGCTGACCTTGGTGATCTGATCCAAGTGGTCAGCTTTGCAACTCAAGGTCGTCAGGATCAGGCGGAGTGGGTGACAGCCTATAACATTAGCTACTCACAAGATGGCAGCAATTGGTTTGCCTATGATGCTTACACAGGACATGCAGTGGTAATTTTGTAATGACAAAAGAATCTACCTGCTCAAAAAACACCCAATATCTATCCAGAATATAGTAAGAATATGTAACTTACCTGTCCTTATTAAAGGTAAAATGTATATCAAAGTGAAATATAGAGTTGACCTGTTCTAGATAAAATCTACCTGTTCTGAATGACAGTATAACATATGGCTTATCTGTCCTAAATAATGAACTTACATGTCCTAAAAAAATGAGTTATAGAACCTTCCTATAATGAAGGTAAATCATAGAATCTACACGTCCTATAGGAAGGTAAAGGAGAACCTACATGTCCTAAAAAAATCTACCTGTCCTAAATAAAGGTTTAACATAGGCTTTACCTGTCCCTAAACAATGGTAAAATATAGAACCTACCTGTCCTAAAACTAAGGTTTTCATTGCCATCTTGTTTGGTACTTTAATAATAAATCCATTTAGTTTCTTGTTGTCTACCTCTATAGAGCACCATTCAATATATGAAATTCAATATAAATTATTTATTTTCAAAGATCGGTTTGATTTTTGTGAAAAATACATCCTTGTTGCTTAACACTTTTGGTAAAATAGCAAATATTTGAAGCACAACAAAATCATTTCTTTAAAATTTCAAATAAAATGAACACCATGATTTTGATATGTTACAAGGTAATGAATCAATTAAAAGCCTTTCTAGATATCTTCAGTGTGAGTTTTTTCCTTCACCACTTATTCTACAAATCTGATTGGCAGACATTTGTAAGTAACTGGGACCAGTATTCAGTGAGGAAGCATGACCTAACCTACCCTATAATGGCTCGCCTTGTCCGGCTGTGGCCCGTGTCGTACCACATTCGTATTTCTCTGCGTTGGGAGATCTATGGCTGTCCAGGTACATATAATACGGTATTTAGTACAAGTCATCGCTATAAAAAATGTAACCTATCAGCAGTAATACATGTTGTAGTAAGCTGTCCTTTATAGAGATACCGCCCTGACAATATAAACACTGTTTGGAGATGTCAGATTTATCCTCCTACTCACAGTTGTCTGTTGATTGGTTGGTTTTTTGGTCAAGTGAACACAATATCTCCAAAGTAAAAGTCACATAACCAAAACACTTTTACATGTTCTAGACATTGCTCGAGGATGTGAACTTTTTTCCACAATTTGTTTAAGGATGATACATGTTCCAGACAATGTTTGAGGTCATGTACAGTTCTCAAGACATTGTTTGAGGATGTGTTCATGTTCCAGACATTGTTTGAGGATGTGTTCATGTTCCAGGCATTGTTTGACGATGTGTTCATGTTCCAGGCATTGTTTGACAATGTACATATTGTTATATCATTACTTATTCTGATGAAATCTAACTTTTTGTTTCAAAGGAAGATCTTAAGTTGATCATTCCTGTATAAAACTGATATTTCATTAATTCACATGCAGGTGCTGACTCCGGAATAAATATTGGTTGCTATGCCGATGACCCATTGCATCGTGACCTGACCTATGAACCCTTCACTGACCCAACTGTGGGAATGTGGCCCCCAATGTGTATTCACCACTGCTTCAACAAAGGCTACTACTACGCAGGTCTACAGAACCAATACAAGTGTTTTTGTGGTAACTCCTATGGGCGGTATGGTCCTGCAACTGACTGTAACCTGGCCTGTTTCCCTCAAACATCCTACCATTGTGGAGGCCCAACTTCCAATGTCATCTATTCTACTGGTCTGAGTAAGCTATTTAAGCTCTACATCTGTAATAACCACACTTAGATACTCCAGATCTTTTATTTCATTGATGGTGGTTACAGGTCCTGAGTACTGAATTGTTGTAGTTTAGTTGTTATTATAAGTGGTCCACTTAATACATAAAGCCTGCTGAACTGACCACTACAGCTGCAATCACCACAGAACTAATGAGTGTGGTTTTCTCCCCAGGCTTTCATTGATCAATCCCGAGAATATTTCAACATACATTTTTCAAGAGCATGTCTTTACCATTACTCTCTGATATTCCAGCTCCAGACTTTAAGGTGTGTCCACCTCAATGGACTGGTTATGAAGACATGTGCTACTTTCTAATGCTGGATCTACAAACATGGAGTGAAGCTCAGCGCCAGTGTAAAGTGATGGGTGGTGACCTAGCAACCATCAACAGTCAAGCAATTCAGGACCTTCTGTTTAGTCTCCTCAATCAGAGTAAGTACTGAAACTGTAACCTAGCAACCATCAACAGTCAAGCGATTCAGGATCTTCTGTTTAGTCTCCTCAATCAGAGTAAGTACTGAAACTGTAACCTAGCAACCATCAACAGTCATCTTGTCTTTAGTCTCAATAGCCATAGTAAGTACTGAAACTGTAACCTAGCAACCATCAACAGTCATCTTGTCTTTAGTCTCAATAGCCATAGTAAGTACTGAAACTGTAACCTAGCAACCATCAACAGTCATCTTGTCTTTAGTCTCAATAGCCATAGTAAGTACTGAAACTGTAACCTAGCAACCATTTACAGTTATATATATATTTTATGTTAGAATCTGTATAGATGCTATCTTGTTAGAGAGTTTCATACTTGGCTCAAAGGGAATAACTTTGACATGGTCACCACTTATTCAGGGAACTTTGTTGTGATTATCATGTGATTTGCGACATGCATGACCTTGTTTTGACCTCGACTTTACATTGCCTTGACCTTTCTTTGACCCTTTGTTGACTTTACTTGACCTTGTGTTGTAGACCATAGCCAGGACATATGGATAGGCTTGACTGACCTTGTGGAAGAGGCTTTATTTGAATGGTCATCTGGGGATCCTGTCAAGTATACCAACTGGAATTTAAATCAGCCACGCAGTCCAGTTAATATGGATGAGGACTGTGTCAGCATGTCTAACGGGGTAAACTCTTTGTAGACCACTTCTTGTGCTTTCTACAGCAGGCTTGTTTTAATTGGATACAAGTGTAATTTGATCTACAATAGAAGCATGGCTCAGGCATGTTCAATAATGTCAAGTTTCTAAACCGGAGACAGTATTTTGAGTTCAGGCAAGATTAATCACTAATCACTAGAGTAGACATTGAAATATCATTTTTCTCCCTAGATATTTTGTTATTGTAAAATCACTACATTTTAAATATTATTATGATTTTTCCATTGTAAGATGTTTAATTACTTTATGAAAATTAAATTAAATTTCCTCATCCACTCACCGTTTATAATCATAGATATCAATATACCAGGCTTTTCTGATATTGCTGCTTTAAAAACATGTGAAAACATCCCCTTTTCGTTGTAGACAGGGGGCTGGCAGGACGAAGACTGTTCCTCCCACAAACAGTATATGTGTATGTCGGCAAAACACGGTACTAATAAACCAACCACAACTCAGCCTGTCGTCGGGTGTGCTTCGGTGAGTATGTTATATACTTAATGTAGAAAGCTTCACTGTCCCTTTATAATACTTCACTTTCATGGAGTATTTCAATTACATGATGGGACATTTTTCCCTTTGTAGTGGCAGAAGTAACATATTTTTAGATATACTGTTTATTGGAATTATTCAACATTATTCATGGCTGGGATTAATTACTTATATATGTTTAGATTTATCAATATATTTATGATATTTAGGGCTGGAAGGCCTACCGTTGGTCCTGTTACCTGGTAGTAGACATGCCAAGAGTTTTCGTGGATGCAAACAAAGTCTGTCGAGACCGTTCAGCTACTATCGTCAGGATTGAGGACAGGTAGGAGCACATGGAAAAACAGCCTATAAACATACAGTAGACAGATAGGAGGATATACAGGAAAAAAATTTAAAAAGACAAGAAGATTTACAAGTCATGATGATAGACTGGTATATAGACATCTACTAAACATAAGACACAGGTTAAAGTTATAAACACACTGGTAAAGATGATAGTGAAGTAGACACACAGATGAAGGTGATAGACAGGTAGACTCACAGATAAAGATGATAGAAAGGTAGACACACAGATAAAGATGATAGAAAGGTAGACACAGAGATAAAGATGATAGAAAGGTAGACACACAGATAAAGATGATAGAAAGGTAGACACACAGATAAAGATGATAGAAAGGTAGACACACAGATAAAGATGATAGAAAGGTAGACACACAGATAAAGATGATAGACAGGTAGACACACAGATAAAGATGAGAGAAAGGTAGACACACAGATAAAGATGATAGACAGGTAGACACACAGATAAAGATGAGAGAAAGGTAGACACACAGATAAAGATGATAGACAGGTAGACACAGATAAAGATGAGAGAAAGGTAGACACACAGATAAAGATGATAGACAGGTAGACACACAGATAAAGATGATAGAAAGGTAGACACACAGATAAAGATGATAGACAGGTAGACACACAGATAAAGATGACAGAAAGGTAGATACATAGATAAAGATGATAGAAAGGTAGACACACAGAAAAGATGATAAAAAGGTAGATACACAGGTAAAGATGATAGAAAGGTAGATACATTGATGACGATGAGAGAAAGTCAGAAATTAAATATGATTGGAATCAGCCGAGTTTTGTTATTTCTGTGTTGGATTTGTAGATATGAACAGTCGTATCTGTCGAGTATTCTGGCTGGTAAAACTGGTCAATATTGGACAGATGTCACAGATACTGTCAACCCAGGCACATACAGGTACTCAGAAGATGGTTCAGCACTTCTCTACACCAACTGGGGCCCCAACAGACCAAGTATGTACTATGTTTGTAAAACTCTATTACTTATAAGGTAGGAGTCACATCTTCTGTATTTACTATACCAGAATACATTCTGTAGGTATGTTGTGTAGCTGGTTACTTGTGGTCAGTGTTAAGTTAGGACAATATTTTTGGCCACAGAGTTGACCTCTAAAATATAGTGTTAGGTCAACGGAATCCCAGAACAGTATCTCTATCCCGTCCTCTTACTTCTATTATCTACTCTTACTTGCTACTTTTCCCATTCTACTCACTTTTCTATATTTTCTCACCTGCTGATAAACGGCAAAGCCATACTAGCGGACTTTAAGCCTGTCAAATAAATAAAACATGAATAAACAGATAACCTCTGTCAGTATGATTTTCCCAAGTATTCATTCAGGAGTTTGATATGTAATTTGCAGCAAGTAATAGTCGCTGTGTAGCCCTGCAAGCAGGTGACGGCAACAACGGGCTATGGTTCGATGTCCTATGTAACACAACATCTAAGGTTATTTGTGAGCAGACGAGACGGGGCTACACTACGCCCACACGACCTCCTACAACCACAGGATTCATCCCTTGTCCCATGGGATGGTGGACCAATTCTAAGGACCCCAGCAGCTGCTTCCAGGTGAGGCAGATCACTTATACAATAATGATTATACATACAATACCAGCGTAATGTTATGTTCTAGCCTACCATACCTAGGGAACACTCAGACAGGTGATTTCTATGATACTTTAACTATCCAGAAATACCGACCGCCTTCTAAAGACTCACATAGACAACAAAATATTACAATATCATTTTACACCGCTTTTCAGGTCAACATCCAACAACGAAATAAGAGGCTGATTTACACTGATGCTGAGGCAGATTGCAGATCACAGGGAGCAACAATGGCCGTGTTCCATAACAGTGCCGCCTATGATGCCCTGTGGAGGAACAGAATGATGTAGGTGACAGGAAAAAAGTGGCGAGGAGCAATAAAGCGATGGGAGGGTGTGGCTGGGAGGGTGTGGCTGGGAGGAAAGAATGACAAGTTCACGGGCCTGATTGGATAAATAAAGGGGCCATGATTGGTGTAACACTGTCGGAGGGTGTGGCTAGGAGGAGAAAGAGACAAGTTCAATGGCCTGATTGGTTGTGTATAGGAGGCCTGGATTGGTATAATACTGGGAGGGTGTGGCTGGGAGGAGAGAGAGACAAGTTCACTGGCCTGATTGGATAAATAGAGGGGCAAGGATCGGTGTAACACTGTGGGAGGGTGTGGCTGGAAGGAGAGAGAGACAAGTTCACTGGCCTGATTGGATAAATAGAGGGGCAAGGATCGGTGTAACACTGTGGGAGGGTGTGGCTGGGAGGAGAGAGAGACAAGTTCACTGGCCTGATTGGATAAATAGAGGGGCAAGGATCGGTGTAACACTGTGGGAGGGTGTGGCTGGGAGGAGAGAGAGACAAGTTCACTGGCCTGATTGGATAAATAGAGGGGCAAGGATTGGTGTAACACTGTGGGAGGGTGTGGCTGGGAGGAGAGAGAGACAAGTTCAATGGCCTGATTGGTTGTGTACAGGAGGCCAGGATTATTATAATACTGGGAGGGTGTGGCTGGGAGGAGAAAGAGACAAGTTCAATGGCCTGATTGGTTGTGTATAGGAGGCCAGGATTAGTATAATACTGGGAGGGTGTGGCTGGGAGGAGAGAGAGACAAGTTCACTATCCTGATTGGATGTGTATAGGAGGCCAGGATTAGGTATAATACTGGGAGGGTGTGGCTGGGAGGAGAGAGAGACAAGTTCACTGGCCTAATTGGTTGTGTATAGGAGGCCAGGATTAGGTATAATACTGGGTGGGTGAGGCTGGGAGGAGAGAGAGACAAGTTCAATGGCCTAATTGGTTGTGTATAGGAGGCCAGGATTAGGTATAATACTGGGAGGGTGTGGCTGGGAGGAGAGAGAGACAAGTTCACTGGTCTGATTAGGTGAGATCAGGATTGGTATAACATTGGGATGGTGTGGCTGGTGAGAGAGAAGGAGGTGAGAGGAGCATCAATGTAATACCAAGAGATTTAGGGGAGAGAAGAGTGGTAAGTATATCATTGTGAGGGTGTGGCGGAGAGAAAATATGGTTTGAAACATTCATTAGACCTGATGATATTTACAGTGATTCTCGGTTTTTCATTCGTTACAGCGGAACAAACAATGGAAACTTCTGGATTGGACTAAAGTATTCACACTCCAGCCATGGAGGTAGAGGTGAGTCACACTGAAGTATTCACACTCCAGCCATGGAGGTAGAGGTGAGTCACACTGAGGTATTCACACTCCAGCCATGGAGGTAGAGGTGAGACACACTGAGGTATTCACACTCCAGCCATGGAGGTAGAGGTGAGTCACACTGAGGTATTCACACTCCAGCCATGGAGGTAGAGGTGAGTCACACTGAGGTATTCACACTCCAGCCATGGAGGTAGAGGTGAGTCACACTGAGGTATTCACACTCCAGCCATGGAGGTAGAGGTGAGTCACACTGAGGTATTCACACTCCAGCCATGGAGGTAGAGGTGAGTCACACTGAGGTATTCACACTCCAGCCATGGAGGTAGAGGTGAGTCACACTGGGGTATTCACACTCCAGCCATGGAGGTAGAGGTGAGTCACACTGAGGTATTCACACTCCAGCCATGGAGGTAGAGGTGAGTCACACTGAGGTATTCACATTCCAGCCATGAAGGTAGAGGTGAGTCACACTGAGGTATTCACACTCCAGTCATGGAGGTAGAGGTGAGTCACACTGAGGTATTCACACTCCAGCCATGGAGGTAGAGGTGAGTCACACTGAAGTATTCACACTCCAGCCATGGAGGTAGAGGTGAGTCACACTGAGGTATTCACACTCCAGCCATGGAGGTAGAGGTGAGTGACATTTCAATTGACTAGTCAGTTGACATTGTTATATTTCACACCTGTAATCAGTGTCTTACTGACACAGGTATACTCTGACCAAGATGGATGGCAGTACTGACAACCCTCAATGTAATCAGTGCTGTAATAAAACATTAGCACCATATGAGAGAATCAACAATTTCAAAGCCTGAAGCATGACAGAAAAGTACAATTATAGATTTTCTGTGACTAATATTTTAACTTTTCTCTCCTGGACTTGATGACTGTTTGGAATGATTTTACAGAAATTTTGACTAAAATCAAAGACCTTTACATCAAACATGTGAGACTTTACAAGTATGTAGCATGCATACACTGTGATGCACTCACTTAGATTTTGAACTTAATATACTAAGATACACACTTTTAAATATATATACTTTTGCAGTGTTTCAGTGGGCAGACAATACAAGACTTGACTTTGTTAACTGGAGTCCAGGCGAGCCTAATAACTTCCACAATGCTGAGAACTGTGTGGAGGTTATTTACTCGTCAGGGAAATGGAATGATGCTCCCTGTGGAATCTCAAAGAACTGGATCTGTTCTATCCCAAGAGGTACATTGTGTCCTATATTTAATTTTAGTGAAATTATATTTTCAGATTTTTAAAGATACTGGTATGTAGTTATGTATGGTTCCTACACTCATCAAGACTTTATATTGCTGATATTCTACATCAAGGAAATCCAACACTTACTTAATATATTGTTTTGTTTTTAAGAGATCATATTCTGACTAGAATGACCTTCATCACTATCACTATGTATATTGTTTTGTTTAAGAGAACACACCGTGACTAGAATGACCTTCATCACTATCACTATGTATATTGTTTTGTTTAAGAGAACACACCATGACTAGAATGACCTTCATCACTATCACTATGTATATTGTTTTGTTTAAGAGAACACATCGTGACTAGAATGACCTTCATCACACTATCACTATGTATATTGTTTTGTTTAAGAGAAGATATTCTGACTAATGAGTGGCAATGCTTTCTCATTAACTGTAAACATATTGTTTTATATTAGGGACTACACCTCGACCTAGAACAACATTGCCTACCCCTCCAGCTCCTCTTCGTAAGTAAGGACAGATAACTCCAGTTAATTAATACATTGGTGTGGTGGAAAGATATTCTTTATTGAGTTTTGGGATAAAAAGATTTTATGAAAATTGTATCATATAAATTTTATGTAAGTTAATCTACAATCATGTGATGATGCTTATTGTACCTTCATTTGTTATTCTCTGTAATATTCCAGTCAACTGCCCAGTTCAGGGGTATGTACGATTCCCCACAAACAACCATTGTTACCTGATCCAAGCAGCATCAGGAAACAATGCTAAAACATGGCGTGAGGCTCGCTCTGTGTGTACAACTAATGGTGGGGACCTGGTCAGTATTGGCGGTATCCGAGAGCAACGTTTCCTGGAGTTTCAAGTACGTAAAATCTCTTTTGAATTTTTACTGCAATCAAATATAACCTTGGTAACAGGTTTTAAAACCTATTTAAAGTATGAATATATCAATTTACATAGCATTAACAGTAAACAGCATCAATCCTTCATCTATATAAAACATGTATACATACTTTGGGGGAGAAAGATTTGTCAACATGTTTTGTGTTTACACTGAGATATTGATGGTTTGAGAACAACTGTAATGGTGACAGTAACAATAATATTGAGAAAATAAAAGAGAAATACCTTGGAATAATTGTCAACAATCAATTATTTTTTAGAAACTATATTCAAGCTGCTGTAAACAAACTGACTATTTGTAGCCATATGAAGAATATGTACATAACAAATCATTCTGCCTACTGTATGTACAAAGCTTTGGTTTAACCTTATTTGGAGTACAGAGGATGTGTATTGAAACCATAATAGCAAGAAGACATTAAACTTCTAGAAAGTCCAATGGTGGGCTACTAAATTACTGACAGGAATGACAGATTTTTTATATGAGGAAAGATTGCATTGTCTTAATCTTCCATCTTTATTCTCTAAAGGCATAGTATGGGAGACATGATTGAAGCATTTTAAATCTCTAAGGGAGGCTACCATGTAACAGTATCACAGGGACTTTTATCAGTAAAACATGATAAAAGGACCCAAGGACATTCAGTAAGATAAACCAAGAAATACATGAGAAAATATTCATTTACTGAACAAATTCTTTATAACTTTAATTTCTTACCTGAAAAGGGATTCAAGCACCAGACCTAGCAACTTTTGAAACCTGCCTGGATGAATTTTGGGAAAGCATTGATAGGGGATTTAGAACAACTCTGGAGTAACATCTCAACATGAACACTGTTGATATTATGTCTTATATAAATATATATATGGTCTGTGATCTGAATATAGAGGCAATTATACCTGTGTTTAGAAAAAAAAGTTATAAAGGGATCATTGCTGATTTCTGTACATAGATACAAAATATATAGATTTATTAGCATTTTCATCTATTATCGCTTGTTATAAAAAGAAGGTCAAAAAGACAATGGAAATAGATGGAAGTTTTATCTTTTTACAGATTGCTAATGTATCTCAAAATGTGATGTGGATTGGTTTCAATGAAATTGATTCCCCATATGGTTACCAGTAAGTACTGATAGAAATAACTAAGGTTGATTTACACGGTTACCAGTAAGTACTGATAGAAATAACTAAGGTTGATTCCCATGGTTACCAGTAAGTACTGATAGAAATAACTAAGGTTGATTCACATGGTTACCAGTAAGTACTGTCTTTTACTTAGTGTCTATTTATTGGTATAAATGTGTATTTGTCAGTAATTACTGTCAGTAATATTTAAGTTTGATTCAGGTTTGGAATCATTATTTACTTTGAAGCAACTCTTTGCGATTAATTTACAAAATACTTTTGTGAGTTTCTTCTTTTGAGAATAATTTTGTGGATAACAGTTGTTATTGGATGGGGAAAGGACTATCAGTGTTGTTGAATTACTTCAATCCTATGTATTCTAAACCATACATAAGATGGCCAGTAAAGCCGTGTGTGATTCCTGTTTCTTGCCTTTACCTACAGCTGGTCTGATGGAACTGTACCATCGTTTATCAACTGGAATAATAACGAACCTAATGACTTTGGTGGGGCAGAGGACTGCGGCCAAATACTTGTTGGAAACGGTAAGTGTTTAATCTCTATCAGAGAGTGTATGAAGATAGAAATTCAGGTAGTTTGATAGCAAAGTTTTTGATATGTCACTTGTGGAACTGCCTCTACACCATTATACTTAAACTCCCCAATAGAATTCCTACTTTGGGAAATACAAACAGGATTTTCCCTACCATGAAGATGTGTCATAGAAATCTCAGCCTAAAGGATGAGATTCTTTAATGTCCAACCAGTGGCAGCTACAAAGAGGGTTAGACATAACTGTTGAAGGTTGATATATCTTTATTCCACACACCAGGGAGGAAATCAACATTTTTTTCTGTCTGCCTTCTTTGCATGTTTCCAGTAGTCATTTCTGATTGTTTGAAAACATATAGACATTGGTTGTAAAGGAATATTGACCTGTTAAGAACCCAAGTGCCTTTGAAACATGACAAAAGTGGAAGGTCTGTGTTGTTGTAAACTTAGTCACAAGTTGTATGAGATTATTAAAAAATATATATATATAGAATCTTACATGAATTTCTATTTAATAACAATATACCAATATTAGTACTAATACTTGTGATTTATGAAACAAGAATATAAAAATTTTGTGAGCTTTCAGTGAATTCTTCAATGGTCAAGTCAGTCAGGTCAAAGGTCAAGGTGAAAACTGAAATATTTCAGACAAATATTTCAGATAACAGGTGGAGACAAATTTGAATTACAGATAAATGTTTTGTTATGATAAAATGAAGCTTAAGAATTTAAAACCAAATGAGAATTTGCCTGACTACCACCATGCAGGTCAAAGGTCAAGGTAAAAAATTTCACAGGGAAATATTTCATAATGACATGATGAAGTAAAGATCCAATACATGAAGAAATCTTCAAACCAAAAGTTCTTGATAAGTGTAATGTCTGATATTTATTGAACTTCCAGGGAAATGGATTGACAACCACTGTGCAAAAAAGGCAGGCTTTATATGTGAAAATGGCCTTGTGTCCCACAATCTCACCACCCCGGCACCTGTCATCCATGGTTACTGTCCCTCAGGATTCAGTCCCTATGGCAATAAGTGTTTCCGAGTTTTCACTGACCTCCTTAACTGGCAAAATGCCAGTAAATTTTGCAAAGGCCTTGGAGGGGCAAGGAAGGGATACAATCTGGCTAGCATTGCAAACAAATTCGAAAATGGTGAGGAAATATTTCATATTCAGTCAAAATCCATCCAGAATTTAATGTATACATCCAGAGTTTATTGTATAATTATAACTTTTTTTTTTTAAATGTCACATAAATTGATAAAACTGAGTGATCTGTTGTTAAATTGGCATGGAATTTAAATGTGAAATAGTGAAAAGATATAGTTTTCCTCTTGAGTTTCAGGAAAATAGTTTTTCAAAAGTCTCTTAGTACAAATGTCTATGTATAAGTAAAAAATGTCTATATATCAGTATAAATGTCTTTGTACCAATGTAAAAGTCAAAATATCATTGTAAATGAACATGATTCAGTATAAACGTAGCAGTATAAAATGACATCTCAGTAATTATGATCTTTTTCACGGCTGTAGCTTTTGTGACAACATTACTTGGAAACCGTGGTGGAATAAACCCTTGGATTGGTCTACAGTTCTTGGGGGGTCAGACTTATTGGATTGACAACACTGACTTGACCTACTCAAACTGGGATAGAGGAGAACCAAATGGGCAAAGGCGATCGGTTAGTTTTAGCAATATCCTACATATTTAGACCCTGTAAGGTGACCTTACTAGAAATGATGATTGATTTGTTTTAACAATATCCTACATCTTCAGATTCTGTAAGGTAACCTAATGACCAAAGATAATTGGTTAGTTTTAACAATATCCTACATATTTAGATTCTGTAAGGTAACCTAATGACCAAAGATAATTGGTTAGTTTTAACAATATCCTACATCTTCAGATTCTGTAAGGTAGCCTAATGACCAAAGATAATTGGTTACTTTTAACGATATCCTACATCTTCAGATTCTGTAAGGTAACCTAATGACCAAAGATAATTGGTTAGTTTTAACAATATCCTACATATTTAGATTCTGTAAGGTAACCTAATGACCAAAGATAATTGGTTAGTTTTAACGATATCCTACATCTTCAGATTCTGTAAGGTAACCTAATGACCAAAGATAATTGGTTAGTTTTAACAATATCCTACATCTTCAGATTCTGTAAGGCAACCTAATGACCAAAGATAATTGGTTAGTTTTAACAATATCCTACATCTTCAGATTCTGTAAGGCAACCTAATGACCAAAGATAATTGGTTACTTTTAACAATATCCTACATCTTCAGATTCTGTAAGGTAACCTAATGACCAAAGATAATTGGTTAGTTTTAACAATATCCTACATATTTAGATTCTGTAAGGTAACCTAATGACCAAAGATAATTGGTTACTTTTAACGATATCCTACATCTTCAGATTCTATAAAATTGTTTTGTTGGACAGTTTTTGTTTTTCACTATTTTAAGGATGAATAACAAGCATCAGTTGGTATTTCTAGTGTACAGGTTTACACCTCACAGTGGTGTGTGACCTGGCAAGCTACAAAAATTACCTGTATATGGGTATATATGTAACAGTTCCGTACAGGCTACGTTCCCTATATAACAAACAAAATACTAAAAATTTACCTGAGTACATTTTATATTTGTTTTTATTTAAAAATGATCGAAAAATGATAACAATACAGAAGGAATGTAAATGAAATCAACTTTCTGGCAGTAGAAGGTTTTAGGGATTCATTGCTGAGACAAAAAGAGATGTCCGTTCAATATTTACATATATAATGTATATATATATAAGTGTCTGTACACAAAGACTGGTCATGTGTGGCACTTTGTAAACAAAACATTCTTAATTACAAGAATATATAACAATTAAGTCTGTATCTCGTAGATCTTTGTGACCAATAAATATATTGTTTTATTAGGAAACAAACTTAATGGTTCTCTTTATAACATATATGAATAAGTAAATGGATAAGTCCCATCTCACACTTACCTATAAGTCATTTTAAAATTTATCTGAGCCCCTATAGAATCACACATCTCCCTGATAGAACAGCACATCGTACACACAGATATGCTATATCAAATCCAGTTTTCCTATCATGTACACATCTTGCATACATTGTGTGAACACCTTGTGTGATCCTTCCTATGTATATGTACGAAAGGTAGATTTTACTCAAAAATAATTTTGAATGTACGTGAATGAATATTACTGTGTAAGGTGTGTAGATGTGTCTAATTACATAGACTCACTATAGCTAAAGTGACATTTTGATGTCATGGGTCATGTGACCTCATTACTTCCTAAAAATATGCATATTCACCTGACTAAGTGTTTGGGACTGAACAGTTGTCGAGAAAGATAGGATACTTGGGACAATTAGACAATTGCATCATTTTTGACTGAAATATAGAATTATGAAAAATTGTGGCCAAAACCCATTAAAGGTAAAATTGATAGAGAAATACTGTGCTTAATGACTTCTGTTGAAAATACCATTGATTAAAAACACCATTTTCTGTTATTGCTAATGATTATACAAAATTATGATTTCCTCCAAACATCTCGACTTGTATACATGTTTGTGAACTACTTATTAAAATCCATTTACTGCAGAGCTACAAACTTGTTTGTATAGGTGTGACATTTTTGATATTTGTAGACAAGGTGTACACGTATATATGGTCGCCAACATAATGCTGGTCTCTGGGATGATTACAGCTGTAACGCAAGCAATCCCTTCATCTGTGAAACAAAAAAATGTAAGTACAAGAATTGACTGCTATTCTTTTTCAAGAAAATGATTTCCAGATGTTTACACAGTTCTGTTGTCCTCAAACTTTTTTCCCTTTTGATATACATTGAATGTACAAACTTGAAAATATGTGTGTTTGTTGGGTATTTACAGTTGCCTAGTGTTATGATCCATCAAGGCATTTAACACAGGAGCAACATCATGCTTTCTTTACAAAGGGAGAGAGGTTCCACTATTTTTTGTATCAGTTTGTAGGAGCTTTCTTGAGTGATTAAGTACTTGTTCTTCAAGTCAAAGGTCAAGGTCAAATTTTAAACTAATTGATACTTCACATAATGTATATTTCATCATAATTTTATGAAGCAAAATTGATAAAAATTGATTGGTAAATCACTTGACTGGTAAATATTCTGTTATGATATAACGGAATAAATTTGCTTTTATCATGCAATATATATATGTAGGTATGAATTAGTTATGAATCAAATATTCAAATCTAGTTTATCTCTTTATTGATAGATATTTTGTAATGAACTGGAATTATATTTTTGTTCACAGAACATTTGTCTCATGTTTATTAATCAAAGGATGCTCATTACCATTATTGTGTTACTAAGGTTGATAATTAAGTATTGTCCTTGTTTTATGTAGGGCCCAGTATTACGACGTAGGAGACACTAGGTCCTACTCAGGTTGATAATTAAGTATTGTCCTTATTTTATGTAGCGCCCAGTATTACGACGTAGGAGACACTAGGTCCTACTCAGGTTGATAATTAAGTATTGTCCTTATTTTATGTAGTGCCCAGTATTACGACGTAGGAGACACTAGGTCCTACTCAGGTTGATAATTAAGTATTGTCCTTGTTTTATGTAGGGCCCAGTATTACGACGTAGGAGACACTAGGTCCTACTCAGGTTGATAATTAAGTATTGTCCTTGTTTTATGTAGGGCCCAGTATTACGACGTAGGAGACACTAGGTCCTACTCAGGTTGATAATTAAGTATTGTCCTTGTTTTATGTAGGGCCCAGTATTACGACGTAGGAGACACTAGGTCCTACTCAGGTTGATAATTAAGTATTGTCCTTATTTTATGTAGCGCCCAGTATTACGACGTAGGAGACACTAGGTCCTACTCAGGTTGATAATTAAGCATTGTCCTTGTTTTATGTAGGGCCCAGTATTACGACGTAGGAGACACTAGGTCCTACTCAGGTTGATAATTAAGTATTGTCCTTGTTTTATGTAGGGCCCAGTATTACGACGTAGGAGACACTAGGTCCTACTCAGGTTGATAATTAAGTATTGTCCTTGTTTTATGTAGGGCCCAGTATTACGACGTAGGAGACACTAGGTCCTACTCAGGTTGATAATTAAGTATTGTCCTTGTTTTATGTAGCGCCCAGTATTACGACGTAGGAGACACTAGGTCCTACTCAGGTTAATAATTAAGTATTGTCCTTGTTTTATGTAGCGCCCAGTATTACGATACAGGAGACACTAGGTCCTACTCAGGTTGATAATTAAGTATTGTCCTTGTTTTATGTAGCGCCCAGTATTACGATACAGGAGACACTTGGTCCTCCTCAAGGTGATAATTAAGTATTATCCTTTGTAATAGTGTCAATTTTTATCAATTCTGTGCCGCCGTTATTGGTGTGTCGCATCGTAGAATTCATGTTTTAAGACTATGGGAAATATATGTGCTTATGTATTTTATTCGTTGTATTATAGGGTCTTCGATCAAATCTGAATTTGAATAAATTCAAGTGAAACCGGATAAAGGCGTTGCCCTTTTTTAGATAATTTTTACACTTGTTTTATGTAGCGCCCAGCATAACGACACCGGAACCTCTACCTAACAGCTGCCTGATTCACCCGGGCTTTAAACCCTTTATGTCTGACTGCTTCATGTACGTTCCAACCAAGATGACTTGGACTAATGCCAATGCATTCTGCCAGAGCAAGGGAAGCAGTGTCTTCCTCACCACCATTAGCAACTGGTTTGAAGAGGATTACCTCTTCCTGCTCATCAATGACCCAACAATTACGACTAAGTCGGGTGTCTGGATCGGGCTTCACAGTGCTCAGGTATGGTCACTCAATATATCCTGATGTTCATTATTATATCAGGAATTTGTTTAAACCTCTGTTACATGTTTGTGGTTCAGCAGTTAATGAAAACAGTGAATTTCAAGGAACCAAAGAAATCAGTTCAGACACAACTTGGTTAAACTTGACAGTAAAAAGGTAAATGTATGAAAATTTACTCAGTATGGATATTGTGTTTTCACATTGTAGATTATAAATTTTAATGGATGAAAGTCAGTAGACACTAACTATATCATCATTAGATGTTCTAAAGGAAAACTCTCAACTCTGTCTATATTAAGTCCACTATTATCTGATGGTGGGCTGTTGTAATCACCCTTCTCTGTGAGCTGTAATGTTTCCTTCTGTCTTAAATTGCTCACTTTCTCTTGAGAAGTGAGTGATAAATTTAAACAAAAAACTATGTGAAGACTCTTCTCATTCTCCAACTGTGCTTGCTCTGTTTGGGAACATGATTGAAAAAAAAATAAAATGTTTGAAAATTCTGTACTTATAGGAAAAAAAACAAAAATGACTGACAGTAATCCACCTTGGATTTTGACAGCTTTATGTTGCTTGACTCTGGTTATAACAGCCTCTCAGTTTCTCCATTCTTCCCATTGTCTGTGGAAGTTTGTCAGTGCTAAAGCAGCGTCAAATTTTACAACACTGAAATGTGCTGAACATTGAACAAGTTCCAGTTTCTTGGTTGTTGGGTCAAGGTTTCTGATATGATTTTCAGAAAATCATCGTCACCTTTCTAACAACTTCATTCCATGAGGGATTCTCATTAAACTTCACACTGCATAAACTATCAAAATGTCATGAATAAGTTTGAGTTTTTGGGTCGTTGGGTCAAGGTCAAGATTATCATGGGGATTGTATTACTATTTTTAGGAAATCATTGTCAGCACTCTATCAGTTTTATTCCTTTGGGGATTCTCATCAAATTTCACACACTTATAAAGGATAAGATTATCTTGGATAAATTTGAGTTACTCAAGGTCAATGTCACTTACTATTTTTAGAATATTGTCAGCACCCTAACGGCTTAATTTCTTTAGAGATTCACATCACACTTTACAAACTTTTTTAAGCACTAAAATGTCTTGAACAAATTTGAATTTTGGGGTTTTGTCAAGGTCAAGGTCACTGTTGCTATTTTTGGCATCTATAACAAATGGGTGCGCTGTTTGAAATTTACATGTCTCCTTAAATTTGCTAGGCTTCCCATCTTAGTATAGAATATTGAGCATTGGTGTGTGTAGTGCCAAAACACCTACAATAAAACAATGAAATCTTAGATATTGGTGCTCCTTGTTCCATGTCAATTGTGTTTATCTGTATTGTTTAACATCAAAGTATTTACAAGTTTTGAAATACATAAAAAGATATTCCCCCAATATTTCTCTGCTGTGTTAAAACTAAGAAGGATTTCTTTACAGGAATGTGTATGCTTGTGTTTTCAGGGTAATGGAACTTACAGTTGGATAGACAGCAAGTGGCCAGTATTGTACACCAACTGGGCTCGTTCACAGCCTGTAGTGACCTCAAGAGGTCAGCAGTGTGTCTCCTCCAATCTTGATGGGGGTTGGGTCGTTATGCCATGTACCTTCCAACTTCCATTTGTCTGCAAACTTAGTACAGGTCAGTTCTATAGTGCCAATAGCAGTGTTTTGTAATGTTTTATATACCCAACATAGTATAAAGTTCTTGACAATAGCATAACAATTTGTCGTGAAATTCCATATAAAATTTTCCTTAAAGACAAGTTTGTTTTTAAAAAAAATGAAGTTACTGAATTTTGTCTTTTGCTTGTTGTGATGAAAACTAAATTTAGACGACTGCCATTATAAGAACACAACCTCATGTGTAGATCTCCAGTGGGATTGGTTTGATTTCTTGGGTGGTTTACTGTGTATCTCAGGAAGCTTTTATCATAGACTACCTTGTCACCTTGTGGTTGTGTCCTTGGCCAATGCACTGTAATTCTACTTGTCATAGATCTTGTACAATAAGACACATGCATGATATTCAGTGAGGTAGCCATCGTCTTCAACAAGGATATAACCTACCTCAAAATAGCTGTGGCTGCATTCATGGAATAATGAATCCATCAAACCGCCGAAGTTGTCTGTAGGTCTAGTTCTCCTTTTGTCTGATTAGTAATATACAGACTTAAGTAGATTAGGGTATTAACATACCACCTTGTACTTGTTTTTTTATAAAATGTCTTGATCCACATGTCAAAGGCCCTTACAGTCCGGTTCCTGTCTTCGATGTTGTATATATCTAGATATGTACTCCATGTTACAGCCAATCCACCTGTGACACCCCCACCTCCCAATGCTCAGTGTCCAGACTCGAACTGGGTTCCCGAGGTGAATGGAACACGATGTTACCTGTTTATGTTGATGGACACTAAAACATTCCTTGACGCTACACTGACGTGCAGTAGATATCAAGCCACTCTCGTCTCCATCAGTGGTATCAGGGAAAACATCAAACTGACGACTGCTGTTAGCAGTATCACCACACAGGTTGATTCTTTCTGGATTGGTCTCCACAAGTATGGCTCATGTAAGTTTTGATAAACTGTGTATTTGGATCAGTGATATTTAAGAATGCTGTCCCTTAAAATGACCATCATATCATTTATCATAGTGAAGATGTGAAATCCTCAACATTCCAGTCACTTTCACTTAAAAGTGGATAGTCCCATGTCTGGCCTTACAGCCTTGGAGTATTTTCTGCCGTCGTTTTTTTTTCAGACATGATGTTACTTGCCCATTTGTTTAATCAAAATATGAAATATTAAAGGGGAAAGGGGCTGCAATATCATCTTTCCTGCCATCATGACATTAATGTTTTGTTTACATTTTTATTGACTTATACTGTGTTTTAAAATGCATAGTTTCAAAAGTTCCATTCTTTAACCCTTTCGGCGCCAATTTATCTCTTACAATGTACAGCTTCAGTGCCAAATATTTTCCGGAAAATATCTGAGAACATCGGAAAAATTGTCGACCAAAGTCGCCTATGGTGGCCTGTCTGCATGTCGACTTTAGTCGCCTACGGTGCCAAAAGGGTTAATATGTAGTCTTGAATGAATACAAAATAACATAAATTTCTAAGGATAATATATAAATATATGTTTTCCTGTAAAAGGGGATTGAGAGTCTGTTCAGGTTTCTATCAGCAATCAAACTGTTTGATCATTAGACACATACCATTCCTTGTAGCGGGATACCAGTGGGCAGACAATTCTCCTGTGCCTTTTGTTTACTGGGAACATGGGGAGCCATCTGGCCAAGATGGACGGGGAAATGCTGAGGACTGCGTTGTCATGCAAGCTTGGAATGGCAAATGGGATGATCTTGATTGTGGACTGAAACGTGGATACGTCTGTCAGAAAAACAAAGGTGAGCATTAATTTTGTACCGAACATTGACAGATGTTGTCCAGTCATCTCTACCTTCATCTTAAATATCAAACAGTCATAGATTGTAGGTATGTAACTTTCACCATTTGTCTTGGGAGTACAGAAACATACAAGTTTTGGTCGTTATGCCAACATTACATAAATGTGTGTTTGCTTTAAAGAATTTTGAATTAGTCAAGATTGACAGAATATGATGTTCTACACATTTTACATAAATCCTTTGAAACTATGTTTTGTTATTTTGTTTGGGATGATTTTGATAATGGATAGTGTCACGATTAAAACAGAGACTCAATGATGAGGCCGTTTGAATATTTCAATAAAGATATATGTTATATAACACCACATAACTTTTAGGTCTAGATTAGTTAAATATGTTTCCAGACAAACACCTTTATACAAATATTTAACTAGTCATTTCTTCATCTTTTGACAAAAACACGTTTAAATGTCTTTTAAGTTTCTTACCATTCATTTGTGTATTTTTCTGTTTTCAGTTGCAGACCACAACATTTTCACCATTCCAGGCGGAGCCCCCAACACATCCCTAGCTAGTCCAACTAGAGCACCAACACCCAGCCCACAAGTTCACATCACATCCAAAGTCACTAGTCCACAAGGTCACAGTACACCAAAGGTCATCTTGCCTAGCTCCACCTCACCAAACCATATGGCCTCTCATTCAGGGCCAGGTATGACCAATCCAACTCGACCCAGGATCACACCAGTGCCAACGGGCACTGCCATCTATGGGCCAGGAGTAACACAGAAACAGGGTAGGTAACTCCTTATACTGTAATACTAACACTGTTTGTATGTACTTTTTCTTTCTGTGTATAAATTTTACATCAATAGAGAAACATTATGAGATAACTTAAGAAATGTAATGATAAGGAACAGGAAATTTTAACACATCCAGAGAAGTAAACTCTCAGATTTATGATAAGGAACAGGAAATGTTAACACATCCGGAGAAGTAAACTCTCAGATTTATGATAAGGAACAGGAAATGTTAACACATCCGGAGAAGTAAACTATGAGATTTATGATAAGGAACAGGAAATGTTAACACATCCAGAGAAGTAAACTCTCAGATTTATGATAAGGAACAGGAAATGTTAACACATCCGGAGAAGTAAACTCTCAGATTTATGATAAGGAACAGGAAATGTTAACACATCCGGAGAAGTAAACTCTCAGATTTATGATAAGGAACAGGAGATGTTAACACATCCGGAGAAGTAAACTATCAGATTTATGATAAGGAACAGGAGATGTTAACACATCCGGAGAAGTAAACTATCAGATTTATGATAAGGAACAGGAAATGTTAACACATCCGGAGAAGTAAACTATCAGATTTATGATAAGGAACAGGAAATGTTAACACATCCGGAGAAGTAAACTCTCAGATTTATGATAAGGAACAGGAAATGTTAACACATCCGGAGAAGTTAACTCTCAGATTTATGATAAGGAACAGGAAATTTCAACACATCCGGAGAAGTTAACTCTCAGATTTATGATAAGGAACAGGAAATGTTAACACATCCGGAGAAGTAAACTCTCAGATTTATGATAAGGAACAGGAAATGTTAACACATCCGGAGAAGTAAACTCTCAGATTTATGATAAGGAACAGGAAATGTTAACACATCCAGAGAAGTAAACTCTCAGATTTATGATAAGGAACAGGAAATTTTAACATATCAGGAGAAGTAAACGATCAGATTTAATGAAGATTTACTGTTATTTCTACTTTATCAACTTTGATGTCATCATTACCCAGTATATTTTAATCAGTACAAGAGCAGGGTTAATGTATATTTGACTGTTTCTTGGTGACATTCAGGTTCGTCTGGCAGCAGCGGTGGCGTGGGAGGAGGAGGTATAGCAGGAATTGTGATTGGCTGTTTGGTCATCGTCATCCTTGTAGGTCTTGGTGTAGTGTTATGGCGACGAAGACAGCCAGTTGTCAAGGAGAATGGCCTGGGATTTGATAACTCAGTATATGAGTATGACTCTAAACAACAGCAGGGAGAGTTCACAAACTCAAACACTGCTAATAATGAGGACTGTTGATACAGAAAAAGTAGTTGGTCTGTGGCCAGTTAGGTTTGTGTAAAATGTTACAAGAGAGACAGATTATCACTCAGAATGCGTGTAGGGCAAAATTGTGAAAACGGATGCATTTGATTGTCAGGATGGTGTTCTTTTTGTGAAAGTAGATTTATGGGTTTATAATATGAAATGCATAATGTAGAATTCCAATAGACCTTTGCCCTCACTTAAAACTGTTCTCATCCAAAACTGGCTGCTGTGAATTCATATTGTTCCATTCCTTTTTTAGGTGTGTGTTTGGGGAGGGTGGGGGAGGATTGGTCACAGGAAATATTTATTGTATTGAGGGCGGCTATATATGATGTAGTGTTACTCCAATAGGGTACTGTCATTCATTCATTCAAACTTGTAACGATATTGTGTGTTATTCTACATCTTGTGTAAATTGACCCTCAGCTGGATCAGTAGTATAACTTCTCCTGTTTGGACTACATAGGAACTTTTCAGTAAAAGTCATTTGATATATATATATTATGTTGATTTCAGCTACTTATATAAGTATAATGCCCACATTCTCTTCATTTTTCTATCCTCTCAAAGCATTTTTTATGAAATATAAAAGTATAGATTCATTTTGTATAAAGGACACTTGAGGAACAAGTGTTTAAACCAAGAGAGTGTACCTGTTCTAACCCCAATACTCAAAGTGTTTGATATTCATTTTCATCAAAAAACACCATTCTCAACAAATATATCATTACCATGCAATCATCAGAATTCAGGATTGCACTGGATCAAAATAATGACTTTCTCAACTCTCATAAAATGATTCCATTTATTGCAATTCAATAGTTTGAAACTTCAATGAAGTAATTAATGTTTTATATGAAATTTCTGATATTATAAAAGTATCAGAGAGAATGTATTTGGAGTGACAGTTCCAACATATTGTTTATGAGGTAAGGAACTGGATTTTAACAATTAATACAGAGACCTTCATGCTCAAGACTCAAATTACAAAATACTCATACATATTTATTTGTTTGACTAGTTTGTAAATGATGCATTCAAAGTGCTATATTATTTTATAATTTTTAAATATATTGCAAATTAATTTTTGTGAACAACTTTAGAAGAGTGTGTACTTTGACCTGATGCTATCAGAGTGTACAAGATTTCCAATTGGTCAGTTTGGTTAAGTATGAGAAAAGCATAAAGTTCACCAATGATTGAATGAAGACCATTGTAGCAATGCTGACGATTGACTGTCATTAGAAATACATACAATGTATGTATAATGATGTCTCTAATGTTTTGGTATGTCTTTATAGTGGTAGCTTTCGATAGGTCAGCCTGTAAGGTTATAAACCGACTTGAGATGAGGAGTATGTTGAAGAAGATGACCATTTATTCGTATTTGTGGTGACTTACAGCTATTGAGATGTTTCAGGTTTTAGGTAAACTCTCTTGTGTTGTTATTTTGGATATAGTATACACAATGTACAAATAAATGTAAATGCTATGATACAAGTTTGTATGAAGTAATTGTTTCTTTAATTTCTCCCTTATGATGTACACTGGTTCACATTTAACATCACAAACGATTCCTCAGGGTTCAACCTCAAAAGATGCCCAAGTGAGTGGAGTCTGATCCAAATTCCTCAAGGAATGAAGCCATTACAGCACTGACAAGGATTTCTAAAAAGAATTGTGGTGACCTTGACCTTGACCTTACAACACTCCAAATTGATCATTATAGTCCTTCCAAAGAATGTGAACTCCTTCAATGAATCCACCTGGTAGAGCACTAACAAGGATGATCTAAAAATAGTAATGGTGCCCTCCACCCTGCAACCCTGATGCTCAGTCTTGTTTCTGAAATTATGGTCCTTTATATGAATGTGGAGTCATAAAATCTCCAGGAATGAAGGCACTAGATAACTGACTTTTCTGAAAATGGTAACAGTCACTTTGACCCTACAACCCTGAAATGTGAGGTGAGGGAGTGAAGTCACACATGTAGTTACTAATTTTGGTGTTTCATACATGCACACTTGTAACAGGAGTGGAAAAATTCATGGTCAAACTGGGGTTTGAACCCAAGACCCTCTAATCTCTAGACTGAGGCTCTCCTGATTGAGCCACCAGGTTGCTAATGATCAACCCAGTCCTGTTCCACCACATTCCTCTTTAATTTTTCCAGTTCTTCACCCGCAAATACAGAGCAATGTGTGCCCCAGGTTCAGGTATCTTCTGGTCAAGCACTCATCTACTTTAAACAAAGGCTGGTTACAAGCTCCAGTTTATAATATGACCATCCAAACTCTAGACAAAGAGTCTCTACCAGCTATGCTACAGTCACTGCTGATCAACACAGTCCACTTCTGCTACATACTTATATACAGTAACACCCCTTCATTCCTGAAACTTGTAGTCTCAAAGGAAAAATCAACTATCCCAGAGGTAGAAATTAAGACCATATTGATATAAGGTCAGCATTCATTAATTAAACTCTAAATCAACGTTTAATATTCAATCAAACATAGTCTCAATAGAAATAAGAAACACAAAACAAATGCTTTTTGTATTTTATTTATCAAAGCGTAAAAAAATATATTTTGATAATTAATATGTAAATTTATTTCATCTGTTGTTTACACAATTACCAGTTGTATAAATTATTTTGATATATGTACATTGTAAATAGTAATGAAAATAGACATAAATAGTCATGAAATTGCTCAGATCTTTGATGTTTACATTTATTATAATACAAAAATAGGAACCAAATTAGCTTGGCACAATTCTAAATACATTTTATACAATGTCTTGTACAAAAATTGATATTGCTTTTGGCTTTTGTAGTCATAAACTACAATTTGATGTTCACTTCCTGAAGTTGTTAAAGTCAGCTGTTGAAGTCAGCTGTTGAAGTCAGCTGTTAAAGTCAGCTGTTGAAGTCAGCTGTTGAAGTCAGCTGTTAAAGTCAGCTGTTGAAGTCAGCTGTTAAAGTCAGCTGTTAAAGTCAGCTGTTGAAGTCAGCTGTTGAAGTCAGCTGTTGAAGTCAGCTGTTGAAACACTCACAGAGAGTTGCTTGAATACAATGCCCTTTTTTTAGAGGATAATTTACAACAAAATTCTCAAGAATTAGCGAGTGGGGTAAAATTTCTTTCTTGTGTCAAAGCCTAATTGCCTTCAGACTTTTGTTAAGGAATGTTTCAATTTCTACTGATAGACTTGAATCAAACAATGTGATTGTAAAGAATTCTTAATTAAATGTTAGGAGAAGTTGATCAGTAATAAAAATATACCACGTAAATACATGTATTAAACACAGGTACAGTACATATATATTTGTATACATATATACAGTACACATATATGTTTATTAAGGGAATGTTAATTGATGTGTTTTGTTCTGATAGACATTCTACAAAGCTGTCCTATACACTAGGTACATTTGTATCATGCCAACATATTCAGATACTTATTTCACAACAAGGTACTGTGTTTTTGCCTGATAACTATTGTTAAAGTCAACATGAAGACTAAATGCTTCAGAATTTTAAAAATAAATAACAGCGGATATCTCAAACTGTACTATTGATACATGACACTGTCTTACCAAGATGAACACATATCCTAAATATCAAGTTCCCACAATTAGTTGTAGGTCCATGTCAAAGTGACTTTCTAGTACTATTGAAACATGACACCGCCTTACCAAGATGAACACATATCCAACATATTAAGATCCTATGATTTGTAATGTAGAAGAAAGGGCTCAGACCAACTTTTCCTTTAAGGTAGATCAAAGGTCAAAATGTAGGTCACAGTGACTTACTTTTGATACCAACACTGTTTGTAAGGTAAAACCATATCCTAAGTATTAAGTTTCTTGATTAGTTGTGTAGACAGTAGAATCTAGACAAGTGTTTTCTTTGATGCAAATAAAAGGCTAAAATGTAGTTTAGAGTGACCTACTTTTAATATGCGACGCACCGCCTCATGAAGGTGAATCCACCACTCAAGTATAAAGTTAATGTGATTACTTGCGTAAAAGATAGGGTTGGAGAAGTCTTCTCATTGATGTAGGTCAAAGATCAAAATTTAGGTCACAGCAAACTTCTTTTGATATGAAACACAGCATCTCACCAAAGTGAAGCCATAACTTGAGCATATAGGTCTCTTGATTAGGAGTGTAAAAGATAGGGAATAAAGTTTTCCTTTGATGTAGTTCAAAGGTCAAAATAAAGGTCAGAAAGACCTAAATTTGATACATAACACATTGTCTGACCAGGGTGAACCCCTTCATCCCATGTAATGAGACAAAACACAAAAACTTGTCCCCTCCAGTTCTTGGTGGTGAACTTAAAAGGCAAGCTTTCAGCACAAACTTATATGTACAATATGATGATATGTACAATTGTATGACATCTTACAGATGTATACACAATGTATAGATATATAATCTTTCTATATGAAGCACCAGTAATATGTGATATAAATTCACTCCCTGAGAGCCTCTCTCTACTGTAGTCCCCAAATTATCATGGCAATACTTTCATGGTTGCATGTTCTCCCCAACAAATTTGTAAAGATTGATATCACCAATGAAACAAAAAAAACTCTACATTGCACATGTGGCTTGTTCAATTGCATCTAAGTGTTCACAAGAATGTATGTATCAATTTTTCACATGGGAGAAAAATCCTTAAAGATCTGCCCTTGAAATATAGTGGTGTGTACCTGATCTAAGAATATCCTTGTGATGTCAAAAGTACACTCTCTAAGTGCTCACAATCATGTAGCCCCGACTTCAAAATTTCACTCCCACAGAGCTGACGCGTGTGTAGATCTAACTAAATATGACATCAGGACTTCTCTGTGATGTCTGTAATTCACTCCCATAGAGCTGACGCGTGTGTAGATCTAACTAAATATGACATCAGGACTTCTCTGTGATGTCTGTAATTCACTCCCACAGAGCTGACACGTGTGTAGATTTAACTAAATATGACATCAGGATTTCTCTGTGATGCTTGGAATTCACTCTCTCACATTTGTTAACTCAGACTTAGGATGTCCTTTTGGTGTAGAATGTCCCTGTAATATCAGAGATCCACTCCCTTAGAGCTGAGACTCGTGTATACCTGTCTGTCTGAGAAGTAACAACACCACATTTTGATGAACCACTACTCAGGACACCAGCTAAAAACCAATGGCCTCTGGTGTCCTCACACATTAAGGGGCCTCCACTGTCACCCTACAGGTGGAATGGTAAACATTTCTTTAGATTGTTGTCAGATTATTTAGTTAGTAATTGGTGTTTTTTCTTATCAACTAAAACTGCTCTTTAGGAAAATTTTCTGAAGGACATTTTCGTCTTGCATTAGTTATTCCCATTTAAAGAAAACTATGTACAAATTTGTATGAATGACTTCAAAGTAAATCATAAATTTCAAAATCTTAATTCAAGATTGTAAACGTTAAGCTTATAAAATAAGATGTCTTACTTAGATCATACCTGACAGCCAGACAAAACCCCACTACTATAGCCAGCACATAGGGTGATGTTTGTGTCGACAACGGTTTCCATGGCAACTGTGTCCTGGCTACAATTCTCATCTTCCAACACCTGAACTTTAACCTCTCTCAGGTACTGGGGTAACTGTCCTGTATCAACAAAAGGAATAGTATGTAAATATTGTTTTCTCATTTACAAAAAATAATACAATATCACCGTCATAATTAAAATATTGATGATAATAGACATGCTACTACCTCTATCATTGTCCAAGTATCCCCATCCTGCCAAGTAGCAGTTATCATACCCATCCTCATCTGTTGGAAGACATATTGGTTGAATGACCTCTGTGAAGATCAGAGGTCGTTCCAAGTGCACCAAAGCTACATCCCAAAGGATAGAGCCAAGTCCGGTGAATGTAAAGTTGGGATGCTGTAATATTCTGTCAGCGGTAACCATGTTACTGCGAGATGTCTGGTCTCTAGAACGTTTGACAGATCCAGCAGAAGCTTGGACATAAAATGGTGTACGTGTGTAATCATGTGCCCCTGGCCTGTAACAATAAATTTATACTTAAAAAAAATACAACTCCAGTTAAAAACAGACCAACGTAAATAAAAATCTATAACACTTTTTACAGCTTAATGTTCAACAATTTGTATTCAGAAATGAATTTATTATAATCAGTACATGTAGATATTGAAATTTACATGTACATATAATTTTGTTCTTCAAGATTATTTTTACAGAGTTTTGAGAGACAAATTGTACAAAAATGAAAGTTTTTTAAAGCATTTAAGATAGTAATTCACTGAGTCTTCTCTGAGGAAGATGAAGACTAAATCATATTAATGATATTTATGCTTAACTGAATTGTCCTATTCTTCTATAATAATAAGCCATTTTTTTAAAAACAAATAGGAATTCCTGTACAAACATATAACTTACAATGCCACACAATGTCCAGCTGTTACTAGCCATTGATTGGTTAATATGGCTGCAGCACAGAGTGGCTCCCCAAGATACGTCAGAGAAACCACCCATGGCCATTTCCCCAAGGGAGATAATTCTCCACCCGCAATGTAAGCAGTGAGAAAATCTCCATTCCTCATTCCACACTCTTCAAAACAGAACAATTATACAATCACAACAAAGCTATGAAGTCAAAACAATGAAATCATAAATTGACATATTTGTCAGTTCAAGGCTTAGTAAAACATGTGAATGATACTGTCAACCTTGCATTGGACAGAACCACAGGTACACATAAATCCTACAACTAAGATAAACTAATAAGTTTTTACTTGAAAAAAGTATCCAATTTTACAGCTTTAAGTGTAATTGTTACCTTTTTTAGAACAGGAAATGTTGACCAAGCTCCCACTGGAACAGCTTGTCCTACAAATACAGATAACTAGATATTGTCACTCCGAACAGAAAAACGGGTTTATAAATTAATTACTATTGAATCTTGAAAAACATTATAATTTTTTCTAATTTTAATAAAGAATATTGTTTATATGAAAACAAAAGTTAATTAACCATGACTGATTGTTTGTGCTCATCATCATTTAAGATCAATACTGCAGTAAGATTTTTCATCTTATCCTAGAAGTACTTACACATTTACAATATTACCAAGGATATGTGGAATTTCAGACATTGTAATGTCTGATTTGATTTCAAAGTACGAGTTTTGAGAGGATGAAGTCTCTGGTGTGTATACTGTCTGGATAGACTTCCTGAAAAATGCAGTAATGATTTTATACTTAAATTAGAAGTAAACATTTAACAGCTGATAACACTATTTCTATATAAAGGGTTATTTGTTAAGAGAAGAAACAATTCTACAAATCAACATGACAATAAATATTCTTTAGTGAATAACAAATTAGTCAGAAGAAAACTAAACACAACAAACAAAAAATAAATCATTTTAATCTCAAATCTACGAATTTCACATCAAGCAAACTTTTGTTGTCTACATAATTTATAAAAAGACCATTTTTTTGAAACATCATCTCAAGATTTCCCCATGCAGATTTCTAAAACTCACTCATGTCCAAGATGTAGGCACATGTGATCACTCAATTGCTGTGTCCAGTTGGTGTTACAGAGGGGCTGGATATGGTTTGAGTGCCAGACCAACAGCTGACCACTGGTCAAGTTTTGATCTGATTGGTTGCCAGTTGAGAGGGAAACTGAAAGAAAAGGCTAATACGCTAGTCTGTATATGCTCTCAACACAACTCAATGTTATAGAAAGAAAAAGATCTGTTCTGAGGCTGCAGTTTTAGGAAAGTCATCTGTTTTGAATGGCTCTGTTATACTTCCTGGAAGTATCTGTTCAGAGATCAGGATATGGATATATGTTAACATTTGTTTGAATTGTCTTAATCTAAACTTGATAATTACTTACAACAATTAAGCTCATCTTCACCCCGGGAACAGTCTTGGTGACCATCACATACAGTATCCATAGCAACACATTGATAGTCAGAGCACTTAAATTCTTCACTGCTGCAGTGGTCTAGAGAATTTTACATATAATATCAGTTTAGAATTAATACAGAAAACACACGAACCTGAAAAATCCATATACCTTACTGATTATACATTGCTTCTACAGGAATGTTGTTACACATAGCTACAGGTTTTTGTATTAATGATCTATATGGTGTCCTATTGATAAACACACCATTTACAACCAAAACCCTATTCCAGAAAGATAGTTCACATTTGTCACTGCTGTTTCTTTCGGACACCTGTAGTACTTGCTAAATCTCTTGTCTGATAGGGTCAGCATTGCATCAATGTTACTGACTGCTGAGTGAACATTTACAAAAATCATTCTGACAGGTATACATAATAAATAAAATTCTGACCAACACATCAAAACATACCAAGGTCATCAAGAACCATCACTACTTGAAATTACTGCAATATCCAACAAAGTGTCTCTCTATACAGACTTACCACAGTTTTTCTCATCAGTCCCGTTAATACAGTCCCAGAATCCATCACAGGCCCATTCTTGTCGTATACAGCCCCCATCCTGGCAGGCTATCTCTGTCTGAGGTTCACACGCTGCCATCAAAGATAATTGTTTTATATTTAAACTGTCATATTTTTTTTTTTTAATTTAGCACTAAATAAGTAACTTAAACTTTCAAAGATTTTAAATTGAGTGTAGTAGATGGAAGTTATTCCAAGCATCCCTTGTAACCTTGATAACTCACCACACTGTGTCTCATCACTATTGTCATAGCAATCGTCCACACCATCACACCAATCAGATGCCTGGATGAACACTCCATTGTCACATCGCTTGTAGCCAGGTCTGAAGGCTGTTAATCATAATTAATACGACTGAATTAAATACAGAACAACTCAACAATGACAGGTAGAAAGGTAAATCACTCCATCAGTTTAAACCATGGACTCTGTAACAGTTTCAGATCAAGATATTATATATCTGTTATGGTCTTGCATATGAGTAAAACTTTCAATGAAGATTTAACTGAAGTGATTTTGAATTAAAGCTTTCAGTTTTCTAGTTAAGACAGTTTCTTCCTGATGAAACTTCTCCCGACATAATTGTAAAATTTAATAATATAAAAGTATACATACGGCACCCTAGCTCGTCACTCAAGTCCTCACAGTCAAACACCTGGTTACATCTACTAGAATGAGACCACAAGCAGAGTCCCGAGGCACACTGGAAACCAAAACACCCTATAACAGAAACAGAGACAGCCCAGAGTCACATTGGCAACCTAGATACTCTGTAGCAACACTTTAAATGGTTACCTAGACACCCTGTAGCAACACTGGTTACCTAGACACCCTGTAGCAACACTGGTTACCTAGACACCCTGTAGCAACACTGGTTACCTAGACACCCTGTACCAACACTTTGGTGACGTAGACACCCTGTAGTAACACTGGTTACCTAGACACCCTGTAGTAACACTGGTTACCTAGACACCCTGAAGCAACACTTTTGTTACCTAGATACCCTGTAGCAACACTGGTTACCTAGACACACTGTAGCAACACTTTGGTTACCAAGATACTCTGTAGCAACACTGGTTACCTAGACACACTGTAGCAACACTTTGGTTACCTAGACACCCTGTAGCAACACTGGTTACCTAGATACCTTGTAGTAACACTGGTTACCTAGACACCCTGCAGCAACAGTGGTTACCAAGATACACTGTAGCAACACTATGGCTACCTAGACACCCTGTAGCAACACTGGTTACCTAGACACCCTGTAGCAACACTTTGGTTACCAAGATACCCAGAACAATATTAGGGTTTTAGACATATCATAACAACCATAAAATGATTTCTTTCATATCTCATTCCATCAAATACAATTTGGTTGTAAATTTTTGACAAATTCATTGTAACCAATTATCATAAAAGAACTCATTTTTGTTAGTGCACAAACAACTTGGAATAAATTAGTGCAATACTGAATTTGTGCACTTGCAATAATTGTTATATCAATGACATACAGAAACTGTATTTAGTGCAACTATACTTTAGTACAATAATTCCAAAGCACTAGAATAGGATAGCCACTGAAATATATACATTTCTGCATATCAACACAAAATTATAATTACCTGAGCAGTTGAATTCATCAGTCTTGTCCTTACATTGCAGATATCTGTCGCACCTAGCTGAACTAGACACACACTGACCACTGCTACATTTGAACTGACCACTCCCACAACCTGATCAATTTGAAACATATTTTATGGTTAACATTTATCACTCAAAATAATAAAACACAGGTTTTGAAATTTGTCTAGATCCTTTTCCATGGACAAATCTCTACTGGTAATTTAACAGGACTTTTATTGTCCACAGACACATTTAGCAACATTCTATTGTTTCTGTTGATGTCCAATAAAAAAGGGACTCCTTACTTTGACTTTTCCTCTTTCATTACCTCCAGACACATGTAAGGGAACATATCTATAGTCAGTAGTTTTATTCTGAAAGGTTGGATTCATTGCTGTGTTACTATCAATGAAGATGACATGTTAAGATCTTTATGTGGTACAGAAACTCTCATGTCTACCCGTGTCTAATAACATAACCATTATACATACTGCAGTCCTTAGATTCATCACTGGCATCAGGACAGTGGACAACCCCATCACAAAACCTGCTGGCTGGTACACAGGTGCCATCATCACATGGTGCCTGACCAGTGGGGCACCGGATACCTAAGGCAAAGATTCGAGAGTTTTAAAAATACATCTTTCTGTATCAATGAGACATTATATTGATTAAGAACATTATGTTTTTGGATTAAATTTTACTCTTTCAATTGCTACTGTCAATTAATCTGTAACATGCTTAGATAATATCAGTTTTATATTGAAATCCTTTATAACAAAAGTACTTTGCCAAACATGTACCTGAGACTGTAGTGGTAATGACTGCAGTAGGGGATGTGATTATAGATGTTGTTCCAGTTGAAGTGGCAAGTTTGAATGTGGCTGTAGGGGCAGCTGAAGATGTGGTGGCAGGTTGGAATGTGGCTGTAGAGGCAGCTGAAGATGTGGTGGCAGGTTGGAATGTGACTGTAGGGGCAACTGAGGCTGTGGTTGCAGGTTTGAATGTGGCTGCATGGGCAGCTGAGGTTGAGGTGGCAGGTTGGAATGTGGCTGCAGGGGCAGCTGAGGTTGTGGTGGCAAGTTGGAACATGGCTGTGGCATTAGTAGTGGCAACAGTTGCGGCTGTTGCTATGGGGACAGCTGTGATGATAGTTGTTGCAGAAGCTAAGGAGACAGTAGTGGCTGTGGAAATAGCTTTGATAGAAGTGGTAGCTGTGGCAACAACTGTAGTTGTGGCGGTGGACCCTGCACTCTCACTGGAGTACATAGGTGTTGTCTCCTTCACAAGGAGGGTGTGATATGCAGACGACAGAGTGGCACTTTGGTTCTCATTCTCATTATCCCGAGAAGACAACAGAGATCTAGAGACCAGGGTGGGAACTACTGTGGAAAAGTGGTAGGTAGATTTTAATGTACTGGGCGTCACTGTAATTGGGTCAAATGTCGATGAGGACTGTTCAGATGTTGAGAGGTAAGAGATCTTTGGCATAGACAGATGCAAGGACTCTGAGGTAGGTACTAGTGTTGTAGATACTGGATATTGTGTGAAAGAAGAGGAGGGAGAAGAATTTGATGTCTGACTGGGACCAAGAACAAAACTAGATAAAGAAAAGGAAACATATACCTTTGAATGAGAAACATCAGCTGTGGTAACCTTAATATTCTCCTCTACAGATGGAGAAAGAATACCTGTGGGGGAAGACCAGGCATACTCTGAAGAGGTTTGTAAAATGGGTGACAAAGGTGGGGAAGTAGAATGACCTTCTGATGTAGAGGAAACACCTGTCCAATTTTCTGATGTTATGGATGACAAAGAGAACTCAGACGACATGTCAAGCTGAGATACTAGTGACTGTAAATGTTTTGTTGACTCTTGAGTAGTTTTAACAAGTGAAAGGTTCTCTAACCTCGAAAATGAGGTCATAAAATCACCAGGAAAAAATGAGGATGCAAGTTGAACGTTTGAGGGTTGATTTTCGTTATTTGTCAGCTCAAAAGTGGACAGGGGCATCAAGGACATATCAAACGTGTCAAAGGAAGAGGATGGTGATATAAAGTGTCCTGATGACATTGTTAGACTGGTTTCCATGGTTACAGAAGCAGACACCTCAGATGGAAAGAAAGACACTAAACTGTCACTAAATATGGATGACTGAGGGACATCAGTGATGTGTTGGGTACTGATGACAGGTTGACTTCGGGAAGGCTTGATATCAAAGTCTAAACTCGGAGTCGGACTAGAAGGTAAAACAGATCCTAATGATGATTCTGATGACAAACGTGATATGACTGATGATTTGATAACAATGGATGAAGAAGTTCTAGAGTGCTGTGGTATAATGAAGGAACTTGTGGTATGATCAACATTTGTATGGACAATGTTTGAGGTCATGTCCCCTAATGACCCTATGCTACCAAGGAGATTTCCAGTACTTTGTGACCATCTCAATGTCTCCACTCCAGTCCTGTCTGTGTAGGACAATGTTGAGTCTCCCAATAAGGCTTCAGCACGGATTGGCTGTCTAGAATCTGTAATTCCAAAATGAACTAGTTTTATCATGTTTGTGAAACTCTGTAAGACTTAACCTGATTACAAGAGATAAAACTGTAACTTTGTGATTAATATCAGGGTTACCTTTGGTTTTTTTAATCTATTGAAGACTTACAGCATATGTCATTCAACATTATTACAAATAACACAGCAGACACACAAAGAGGAAATGTTTTCCTATATCTACAAGACTACGACAAAATGTACCATTTTCTGCAGTGAGTAGGACAGTAGTGACCACTGCAACCATCACCACTGTTAAGGTGAGACACACCACACCCAACACTAAAACACGCCTTGTCACAGCACGGTATTTCTGGCTGTCTGGGTCACCATACATATCAAATCGCTCCATCACTATGGTAACGGCTGACCTTCTTCTCCTCCGACTTACAGATCCAGATCTCAGCCCATTGTGATACTGAATCCTGTCATGTAGTCAGGCTTTAACAAAAAAAAACAACAAAAGATATGTTTTGTCATTTATGTTTTATGTTGAGCAATTGAAAGTTAAAAGGCAATTTTGAATGATCTTCCTCGTTCCAACTTTTGCTGCACTTTTGAAATAACAGGAAGTAATTTTTTGACAACAGAAAGTACAACTATCAGTAACAATACCATTGTAATGACAATTCCATTCACAGGGTTCACCTAGGAATCTACGATGACAATCTCATTCAGAGTGAATAAAAGACCTGATAACTGATTAACAGATACGTGAAGTTAGATTTTCAGTCAAGAATATCTCCATCGGGAAGGTATTGCCACAAACAAACAAAAAAATGTATTGAATTAAGTCTGTGGTTTTGCGAGTACTGATTGTAAAAAGAAAATAAAATGTGTTTAGTTTGAAGTCATCACTTTTTCTGACTTACTGATATATGATGTAAACTGTTAATACAAATCTGTCGTTCATAACATTACAACATGTATGTCCTTAATTGATTGAGTATATAAATCTTGTCTGCTCTCTCACAATGATTATCATTTTCTTGTGTGTTACGTAACGAGAACATTTATTTACCAATTTCTATCATATACGTACATGTAATAGGTTATCACCCCTGATGAGCAGATAACACAACGGATGTATGTGTATGTGTGTTGTTATTTCCGTTGTGACATTTGTGACACTGTTCGACTCCCGTAATATTTGACACTTACATATCCTATGTATACACACGTGTATTGATGACAGAGTCACAGTCTGTTTATGTGAACCTGTATCAAGACTCTCCGTGCGAAACGTTCAAAAAATTAACCACAAACATTGATATATGGAGTAACTTTTGTCACAAAAATTACGACATACCTTATTGAAACCTAGGGAGCCATCCTGCCTCTTGTCAACCTCTCCGCGCGACTTGGCTTATCTCCCCCCTTGTGCTCTTCACCTCACCGATTTTTACCTGTTCGTCACACAAAGGTCAACAGTCACCAAAACTGTGGTCCTCTTATCTCGTTAACCACTTTCCTTAGATTAACTTTGATCTCTGCGATTGTCAAACTTCCAGATTCTCCTAACATTTCAACAATGTTAGCTAAACAGCGGATGTGTTTGACCCATCCCTAAATTCCGTGCAACATGAGGGATCTCAAATAGGGTATATCGGATAGGTGTATTACAGACTCTAGAATTTAATTTGTAAATCTGAAAATATTCATTAAAATCGCTTATCACGGAAGTCGTATATCAGGATTTCTTCACGGGTATGGACGTACCCGTAATCTCACGGATGTCTTACCCAGAGACGTATAATACAGATATTTATATATTATACGTCCATACTTTCCTGTCCTGTAGGATTTACGACACCGTTTACGATTTTTTTCATTAACATGATCCCGACTTTTATCACCGGTTTTAAACTGTAGACTGGTATCTACATAAGAAATATACATTTACATGTATCATACTGTAAATCGGTTTATTTTCGCGTAGACGGCTAGATTAGCGGTAAAAGAATCCATGCCCACCAATTATATAATTACATTGCATGTACCTGAATCATGAAAACCGCCTCCACTTCACGGAGTATTACGGAACACGGACAGGAAAGTGACCGATCATGGTGATGTTAAAGGATAATTATTTATAAGTTCTGAATTGTGTTGAAACCACAAGTAACACGAGTCAGAAAGGCAGATATATAAGATGTTCCTGCACGTGTCTATACCGCATTTAAATGTTCCAAGTAAACTCGCTGCATGTTTGATCAATTACAAACGATATCTAAACAATTGTTGACCCTAACCCTAGAAAAATCATGGATTTGGCTGAAAGCCTCTGTCTTCGTATTAAATACATTAAAAACTATAAATATATATATAAATATAAAATATCACGGACTTGGAAATATCAATGACTCTTAAATCAATACAAGTTATAGGTCTAGAATTCACAGACTATTTCTTGGTAATATTTTATACAACAAATGTTCAAATTTTCTAATCACCGGTATTTGTTTGGGCAGATGACTAGATATATAAACAACTCTAAATGTAGTGACCACTCTCATCCTACGGTATTTTAGAGTTGAAAGGTTCCAGTATATGCACATGCAAGTGTAGCCTGACTGACACATTTGTTGGACATAGACTTATCGATGTATGTAAACGATCTTTTGACTATACCCAGGATAATTTCAATTTCATAGGCTAGCTTGATAGTGAGGTTATATTTTGGGACGCCGCTCTTCTGATGACGAATATCACAATCTGTCAAAGCGTCATGGGTTGACTTAACACTTGGTTTTGATTATAAGGTTAACGAATGCTTATTTATTTAGGAGTCTTAACCTTCAGTATTGATCAATGCATTGTACATATGTGAATACACCCATCCGACGGTCCTGTCCACATATCCGGGTAGTTCTGAACGTCAGCCCTGTTGACACCTTCTTCTGAACGTGAGTCACAAAAGGACGGTCGTCAGCATCACAACGTTTTAATTTACACATTCCTGTTGCAGGTCTGCTCTAAGGTCAGAGTTAAAGTAACGGTTCAAAGGTCAATGCCTGTCCGGAAATTTTCTGTCGAAGAGTTAGAATTACTGTTATAAGTGTCCTTTACTCGCAATCACAGCAATGGCGCCAGATGTCAGAATTCTGTGACCTTTGTCCAAGATATTGATAACTTTTAATATCTTCAAACTTTTGGTAATAGACGTGTTTCATAATTTGGTACCAACTACTCACTTTTACCTAGAGTTGTTGAGACGATTGTGATTTTTCATATCTGAGTGCCAAAGGTCAAGGTTAGAGGTCGAAGACATAAAAAAAAACTATTCCTCTGAAGGAATTTCAAGTATTCCAACCTTGCACAAGGTATGTAAAAAAGACGATTGAATTATGATCTCCACTTTTGAGGCTGTGGTCAATTTTTCCAAATCTATTCCCCCGTGTCATTACAAACCGTCATAATGATTTTCTAGAGATCACAGACATGCACTGTTTTGCCCTGACTACTGGATGTAGCAGCATCTGCATGGCGAGGTGAAGAAAACCTATTTTCTTGAGACAAATTTCATGGGTGCTGTAGAATATGTGTGCTGCATTTTACTGTCTCTCTACTATACACTATCGTCATCAAGGGCAACACCTACCAGGGTCACAAATCTCCAGACACAGATACAACTGATAATTTAGACACTATATGTAGACTCAGATACAACTGATAATTTAGACACTATATGTAGACTCAGATACCACTGCTAATTTAGACACTATATGTAGACTCAGATACCACTGCTAATTTAGACACTATATGTAGACTCAGATACAACTGCTAATTTAGACACTATATGTAGACTCAGATACAACTGCTAATTTAGACACTATATGTTCCAGTTCCCAGCAGAGCTAAGGATTTATTTCTGATTGTGTCACCCTTTAAGTTCTCTTTCTTTCCAGCAGACTTTGGCTACTGGTCAAACATCATGACAATGGACCTTTTTGGATAAACGCATCAGTCTATGTCTTTGAAAGAGGGCCAAGGTCATTCCTTAGGATTGGTCAGCCTTCATCATACCATAACAAGGTACTGACCAATATTCAGAAGTTTAAAGGAAAAACTTTGGTGACCAACCAGTTACCTTCAAATGTGGCCAGATAGTATTTATTATCAGCATCCATGCAATCTGGTAGACAGCTACATACAGATTATTTATCTATCACGAAGACGTCATTCATATTGACAATAAATACAATCAGATCATTATATCTATATTTCAGATATTATTTAAGAGCATTGACACATCCATTTGATTAAATTATGAACGTTTTCCATGTATAAGACAAGAAAAATCTCCAGTTGGAGAATTTCTGGTATGAATGTTGAGGTTGATCTTCTAGACTTCAGATGGATACCTAATGGTATACAGAGGTCTCTTAAAGAGTGGTAAATAATATAAAAGATGGGCAACAAATCTGAAGCCAGGTAGGCCAATAATATATTCCACATTTTTCTCATTTTCCCTGTGTTTTGTTTATTAGAATAGATTCCTGAAAATCCTGATCATCTTAAACAAGATCACACCTCATGTGTATTGTCAGAGGCAATGTGTAAAGCGTTAATGTGAGGCAGTTCAACCTGACTTTAAAATAATGTCATAATATTGTAATTTGATCTGATGTTTTTACACATGTCAATACAATCCAGACAATGCAGAAACTAAATATAGCCACTTAAGCTGATGACTAGCTGTTCAGGTAGTGATTACCATTACTAGTGGCCCTTCAGGTAGTGATTACCATTACTAGTGGCCCTTCAGGTAGTGATTACCATTACTAGTGGCCGTGCAGGTAGTGATTACCATTACTAGTGGCCCTTCAGGTAGTGATTACCATTACTAGTGGCCCTTCAGGTAGTGATTACCATTACTAGTGGCCCTTCAGGTAGTGATTACCATTACTAGTGGCCGTGCAGGTAGTGATTACCATTACTAGTGGCCCTTCAGGTAGTGATTACCATTACTAGTGGCCCTTCAGGTAGTGATTACCATTACTAGTGGTCCTTCAGGTAGCGATTACCATTACTAGTGGCCCTTCAGGTAGTGATTACCATTACTAGTGGCCCTTCAGGTAGTGATTACCATTACTCGTGGTCCTTCAGGTAGCGATTACCATTACTAGTGGCCCTTCAGGTAGTGATTACCATTACTAGTGGCCCTTCAGGTAGTGATTACCATTACTAGTGGCCCTTCAGGTAGCGATTACCATTACTAGTGGCCCTTCAGGTAGTGATTACCATTACTAGTGGCCCTTCAGGTAGTGATTACCATTACTAGTAGCCGTGCAGGTAGTGATTACCATTACTAGTGGCCCTTCAGGTAGTGATTACCATTACTAGTAGCCGTGCAGGTAGTGATTACCATTACTAGTAGCCGTGCAGGTAGTGATTACCATTACTAGTGGCCCTTCAGGTAGTGATTACCATTACTAGTGGCCCTTCAGGTAGTGATTACCATTACTAGTGGCCCTTCAGGTAGTGATTACCATTACTAGTGGCCCTTCAGGTAGTGATTACCATTACTAGTAGCCGTGCAGGTAGTGATTACCATTACTAGTGGCCCTTCAGGTAGTGATTACCATTACTAGTGGCCCTTCAGGTAGTGATTACCATTACTAGTGGCCCTTCAGTTAGTGATTACCATTACTAGTAGCCCTTCAGGTAGTGATTACCATTACTAGAGCAGAGAACAAACAAAAAACAAGCACACAATTCTATATTTTAATATTTCAACTGTATTTTATTCAAAGAATCATAAAAAAATATCTTCAACAAATAGTTGTATAACTTCATGATATTGTATAATATTAATAATGCAGTCAGTAAACAAATATTATTGTCAAAAATGATTGATGTAGTTACTGATCAATTTTATACAGTAGTGTAGTGGAGAAGGAGGAGAAGGAGGAGGAGGAAGAGGTGAAATCTAGATTACCCTGGGAAAACACAGATAACCAGGTGATTCCATACCTTTCCACATTCAATGGGGGATGGAATGTGAAAAGGTATGGGATCACAAGTTGGACAGCAAAACAAGCACCAGCATCAGCTGCTACCAGGTGTAGATACAGTAGTTTACCAATTCTTGTGTGAAATAAATGTGTATATAGATGAAAATAAACTACATTTCAGACAACTGATGACTAACCTCCCCCTCCCACCATTTTGCCGTCAACCAACAGATATGAGGATCAACATATGACTAACCCCTCCCCCTCCCATTGTCTGCCATCAACCAACAGATGTAAGAATCAGCTGACTACTAACCCCTTATCCTCTTATCTAATTTCCAAATGTAGTTTATTGCACAACAGGTAAAAATAGCACACACAGCCATAAGAGTTACTCAATACAAACCTATCTGTGGTGACATAGGTCTACCTGTATCATGGAATGTTACTGTGGCAAATATAACAAGAGGCCCATTTGGCCTGTATCACTTATCCTCTTATCTAATTTCCAAATGTAGTTTATTGCACAACAGGTAAAAATAGCACACACAGCCATTTGGCCTGTATCACTCACCTGGTTTGAGATAATTCTTTACAACTGACAACAAAAGAATAATTCATATAGAACAGCATAGTTGCACATGTATTCATGACTAACGGCCCATGCATAGATCTAGATGTCACAGACAACACTATTTAACTGGAAAATTTCAGAATGTGAAATTTCAGTCTTTCCAGACCTCATAACCCCTAAATATGCACCCATAACGTGAATAACTTGGAAGAAGTTAATTAATTCATAAAAGGAATGTAAAAATAAAGATGAGAGGGTTTGTCCCTTGAATACTTTTAATTACATGCAAGTTAATTTGTACATCAATAGATATTTTATGGGTTCATACAAATTATCAGTCTACAGTACCGGCTAAAATAAGCAGCTTGTACTAAAGAGATCATTGTTGTGCCAGACGTTCTATAAACACATTCTCTTCTCAGTAATAAGTATATGTTGGTTCTATCAAATTATATAACAGATTGAGTTCCCTCCCATTACCTAAGAGCTGAAATCTGCCAGAAAGATTCTGTGTTGAATTTTGAACCTTTGCACATTGCTACATTAATAGACTGAGGGGTCTGGTTTTAACAATTTAAAATCTACACTCCTACTGACCCTCCTACTGTATACTAAAAATGAAAAATGTAGATTTTATAGAATTTTTAAAAGTTTAACCTTAATTTCCTCTTTTGGGTCCCACCCCTCAGCCCCAAGGGAGTTTACCAACTTCTCTCTAACAATTTAGAATTCATCTCCCATGAGGGTATATTTAACCAATGGTTAGAATCCATGCAGTGGATCTGGAGGAAAAGTCTTTTAAAGGAAAAGTTGATGACGGACAAAGCACAATGGCATAAGCCAGGCAGATAAGCTAATTATTAAAACATTATCACCTGAATTAACTTGGTCATGAATTAAATGTTTCATTTAAAAAACAATAGCAAGTGTGTTATGACAAGAAAATCTTATATCTATGAGAAAATATACATGAAGTAACAATACAAAACCTGAAAGTAAAATTGAAAATATATCAATATCATTCCATTTGAAAATGCATATTGTTAAGTAAAATGTTTTCCTTATCAATAAAAACAAATTGCCTTAATGGACAGATGGTTTGATAAGGCAGGCAATGTAAATTGGTTAATAATTCATTGTCTAAAACAATTATTACAACTTCATATCCAGAGATCAATCTTTAATTTTATTTCCTCGAGTCCTTATTAACTTCATTGCTAAAAACAATGGGTCCTACAATATAAGTTTTTCCAAAAAATCTAGTTCCATCAAAATTCCATGAGTACAGGGCTCCCATATCGATCAACTACTGCATGTCTTAAAGTTTATACTTTTGAATATTTTCTTTTGTAATGATGGAGCACCATATATATATATATATATTTCTTTTCAATGTAGTGGTATGTGTTTTGATATTTATGTTTGAATGATTCAGATGCTAGATATTTGTCTTCATAAATCAAGTATTGATCAGCATCTAGATCTCATCACATCACGAACATTTCAACACCCTCAACATTTATAACATCATCAAGATGGCTTACACCTTTTTATCAACACATTTTACACACTTTATATTAACATGGCACAAAACTTTCTGTCAAAAATTTCTAACAAAATGGTTCAGCACTTTCTATGAATAAAATATCAACAACTCAAATTTTTCATCAAAGTGGTTACATTTACTGTCACATACCACTGAGATTGTTCAGCACTTATGATAAAAATTGTCATCACTTTGTGACTAATTTTTTGTATGTTGCGCCACATCACTATCAACTTCATTATACTTTGGTTTTCTTTGACTGCGAATGAGACTTCACTTCATCCCAAAGGTCAGATTTGTACTGGTCAGTGTAGAGAGACGGCAGTAAACCCTTCAGGTCAATCGGTTCAAACACAGACAAGTTGTGGCTGTAAGGTACCATAAACCATGATAGAAACTGGACCGTGTTGTAATATCAAACTATAGTATATGGAAGAATGGGCCACGTTGAATTTTGTAATTTTGACTACACTCAGTAACCAAAACAAAAGAATGACACTGATGGAAAAATAATCCCGTACATAGTTAAAAATTCAAGAAACAAATCTGAAAAAAGTCTGAAATATACTAAAATAAACGAGAAATCTATTGAACTCTCACAAGTCATATTGCTTCAATAGTTCCGTGAGATTGAAAACACTACATTCTGTGAATACAATAACAAGAGGCCCATGGGCCTTAACGGTCATCTGACAAAAAGCAAGCCAAACCTAGAAAGTGGGTTGAGGTCATTCATTTGAACAAACTTGGTAGCCTCTCCTCCAAGCATCTTTCAGGCCCAATATCAGCACTCATGGACTTTTGCTTGTTGAGAAGAAGTCGTTTGTATATTTTAACATATTTGACCCCTGTGACCTTGAAAGTGGGTTGAGGTCATTCATTTGAATAAACTTGGTAGCCTTTCCTCCCAGCATGCTACAGACCCAATATCGGCACTCATAGACTTTTGCTTATTGAGATGAAGTCCTTTGTATATTTTAACATATTTGACCCCTGTGACCTTGAAAGTGGGCCAAGGTCATTCATTTGAACAAACTTTGTAGGGCTCCATGCCAGCATGCTATGGGCCAAGTATTAGCCCCCTAGGCCTTCTAGTATTTGAGAAGAAGTTATTTAAAGATTTTGACATATTTGACCCCTGCGACCTTGAAAGTTGTTCAAGGTCATTCATTTAAATAAACTTGGTAGCCTTTCCTCCCAGCATGCTACAGACCCAATATCGGCACTCATAGACTTTTGCTTATTGAGATGAAGTCCTTTGTATATTTTAACATATTTGACCCCTGTGACCTTGAAAGTGGGCCAAGGTCATTCATTTGAACAAACTTTGTAGGGCTCCATGCCAGCATGCTATGGGCCAAGTATTAGCCCCCTAGGCCTTCTAGTATTTGAGAAGAAGTTATTTAAAGATTTTGACATATTTGACCCCTGTGACCTTGAAAGTTGTTCAAGGTCATTCATTTAAACAAACTTGATAGCCCTTCATCCCAGCATGCCACAGGCACAATATCAGCAATCTGAGCCTTTTGGTTATTGAGAAGAAGTTGTTTAAAGATTTTAACATATTTGACCCCTGTGACCTTTAAAGTGGGTCAAGGTCATTCATTTGAACAAACTTGGTAGTCCTTCATCCCAGCATGCTACAGGCCTTATTTTAGTTGCCTGGGCCTTTTGATTACTGAGAAGAAGTCCTTTGAAGATTTAAAGACATTTGACCCCTGTGTCAAGGTCATTCATTTGAACAAACTTGGTAGGGTTTCATCAAAGCAAGCTACAGGCTAAATATTAGTTGCCTGGGCCCTCCAGTTATTGAGAAGAAGTCGTTTGAAGATTTTAAGACATTTGACCCCTGTGACCTTGAATGAAGGTCAAGGTCATTCTTTTTAACAAACTTGGTAGGGCTTCATCAAAGCAAGCTACAGGCCAAATATTAGTTGCCTGGGCCTTCCAATTATTGAGAAGAAGTCGTTTGAATGAAAAGTTTACGGACGGTGCACGGCGGACGACGACGGACGAAGCATGATGACTATAGGTCATCGGACCCTTCGGGTCAGATGACCTAATAAACCTGAACTAGTGAACACATTCCATGTGAACTATATTACTTCTTAATCACTGAACATGTGCTGCACTTTGAGACTGGAAAGACTCTAGGTACAGAATACTTACCAATAAGAATTAGTGGACAGGAAGAGTTACTGAACTTTGAGACTTGAAGGACTCTAGTTACAGAAAACTTACCAATAAGAATTAGTGGACAGGAAGAGTATACTTACAAATCTGGTTGTTTGGCTGATCCTGCTGGTACTGGATACAGGGCTTCATACACACGATCTGGCTCACTACCATGGATAGCAAAGGCATTGAACTTGGTGACACTTGGAGGGAAGTAGCTGATGGGGAAGACCGCCTCTCCTATCCAGCGTCCACTGTCTTGGATGGTCACTTTATACTTACAGGGTAATTCTTTCTACATAGCAAATTGATTCATCATCACACAAAAAGTCACACATACATAATCATGTAATATCTCTGGCCATTCATAATATTTTTAAAAATGAATCATGTTAGTTTAAAATAGCACATTTTGACCAAATTTTAATTTTTGAGTTTATGTCTACTGAAGTGTATATTGTTTACCTTTACAATATTTCTGACTCCACTCAACAGCAAATTCAAGTGTTGTCCATGTCTGAAAAGATATAAGGACATACACAAGTATTCAAAATTTGATATACATAATATATATCGATCTATTTTTACCCTATATTTTGATCTATAGATACTGTAGATTTTACTTACTATAAAAGGTCTTGAAAATACACCTGATGACCATTATTATGGTGAAAGATCTTACTTACGGCGAGAGTTCTATTTCCAAATAGTCACCATCATCATTCAGAAAGAAGGCTTCCACGACTGGAAAAGGGAGATAACCAATGATTATCAAAATCACTTACTGTTACCATTACAACATACTATATCATTTCATGTGCCAAGTAGGACAGGAATGGAATGTTTTGACATAGGAAGCTTTAACAATACCAAAATAACCCACACACAAAATGTAAAGTACAAATAAAGTAAAAAGTACTGTACAAAACACGTGGTAAGATAATCCTATTTTTTCTGTAACATCAGTCTCAGATATCTAATCATTGTACAGTGTATGTCAAATAGGACAGGTGTATTCTGATGAAGTTGATAGTAAGAAAACTTTCACTATCTTTACAGAAAAACTTCAAAGTGAGTTTTGATGTAACATCTGTTTTCAAAACATGGTGAATTATGCAAACAGAAACAAGAAAAAAAAAACTGAAAAACATCAGCATTAAACTGCTGTAACATCAGTATTACACTTCTTATTATTCAATTTACCAAAAGTGAGGGGTGTGGGATGTATCCTCATAGAATTAGAAGCCTTACAAAAGAACAGCATTAACATGCAGTTACTAGTTAACAGTGTGCTACAAATCATATCCTCAACATTAAATCATACGTCGATTCATTGATTACATATTACCAACTAGGCATACTGCAGTCATCATTATGAAATCACATAAATGTTTTTAAAACATCTACACATATTGGAAATCAAAATTAAATCTTACAATAAACCTGGAGACAGCCAAAGTAATTATAGAACTAAAACCTGGCCAGTTCTCATGTAACAGATGTCATAATTTATTTCAATGCCTCTACATGGATTTGAACCCGAGACCTCTGGCTTACTAGTCTGATGCTCAATGGATCGAGCTAAAGAGAACTTCTCTCTACCCGTGCAGTATATAACAGCTAGTTTTTACCAGGGTTACATACTCCCCCTTGGGGAAATAACTTGTCCTTAAGTTTCCAGCGGTTACAGCGATGTCTGTGGGTCAATGCTGAGTATTATACCCAATTCCCTACATAGACGCCAGTGTAATAGAGATCATGATTTATTTCAATGCCTCCGCTAGGATTTGGACCCAGAATCTCTGGCTTACTAGTCTGATGCTCAACCAATCAAGCTAAAGAGAAATTCTCTCTAGCTGAGCAGTCTATTACAACTAGTATTTACAGGGGTTACATTTGAATGATCCAGAACAAATTTAAACTTTACCTTCCACCTTTCTCCTTTCATATTTTTAGAACCCTTGACAAATCCTAATCGTGACATATAAAGAAAGGATGAGGGAATAATCTTCACTCTGTCTGGCCTTCTTCCAACAAGAAACAGCACTGATGGCTGCTTAACATGTCAATGTTGACAGGAGGCTATGTAAAGTTGGTACAAAGGATTGAAATGCCATGGTATTGGGATACACACAATGAATAATAGAACAGATTATGCTCATTAAGTTCTGGTAATTATGACTGAAATGATGAATCACCTTCATGGTTCCACAGTTCCCAGCATGCAGCACCTGGCTCGGCATCAGGAACAGGCTTGTCATCGAAGAATTCAGCATCAACGCTGATACACAGACCGTCGTCTACAGCGGTCAGTGTCAGTTTCGCTGGGCGGTACTTGATTCCGAGTGGCTGACCATCCCAAGTCGTATTGATACAGAAGGACAAAGACTTCTCACTGAGAATCTCATCCCATAGTTCAGACTTGTACTGGTCAGTGTAGTTATTAGGAAGGATGCTCCTCATGTCTATCGGCTCAAAAACTGACAAGTTGTGACTGGAAAGGACCCAAGTGTTGTTTATTATGAACTTGAATTCAGCATATCAAAAATATAGTTCACATACTGGTAAAGATGTTCCTACAACTCAAGTCCATTTTATAGAAGTGTTATCATATATCAAAAAGGACACTGATAATTCTTTCCTTTCATGGTCTAAAAACACTGAGAACAAAATCTGAGGTTTGTCAAAGCATTCTGAATAAGAGGGATCAATGTCTGATAACTTATTAACTTGCTCTATTCTATATGAAGGAGAATCTCCTACATGTGTTTTAGTTAAAGTTAAAACCGTATTATTGAATGTCTATTTCTTATCACATCTAGACTACATCAAGAAAATCACCTACAAATATGGAAGTTCATATTTGCCAGTAGGAACTGGATACAGGGCCTCATACACTCGGTCAGGTTGGGGACCATGCATTGCAAATGCATTAAACTTAGTGACACATTTTGGGAAGTGAGCAGCTGGAAAAATTGCATCGCCCGTCCAGCGGTTTCCTTGGATACTAGCAGTGAAGATGCATGGCAACATTTTCTATAAAGAACAAAATTTCCACTAGACAAGTATTGATCAAGTTATCATTTCTTATAAGATGTTTTCATTGACAGATCTGTGGACAATCTCAGTAATATATTGTAACCGTATCTATAGACAGCTATGACCTGTTTCAAATCAGTCAAAGACTGAAAAAAATTTAAACACGAACAAAATGATGAAATTGCCAAATGAAAATATCACTTAGGAAAATTAAATTTTGTGTTAGGGTAATAAAGTCTTTCAATAATTAAGTCTTTCAATGTTTTGTACAACTAATCTAAAATTGTGAAAGGAAATATTTGAACAGATATCTTTTACAACAAATTAACTGTAGATTGACGAATGAATTATTTGATATCATTCTATTTCCCATCAAAATGTATGTTCAGTGTAATAAAAACCCTTTCTTAATAACTTCCATCTACTTGTACCAAGGTATATAATTTTGATTATAAAAACTTACCTTTACTAAATTCATCTCACCATGTAGAACAAGGTTGAAATGTTGTCCATATCTAAAATACAACAGAATACACAAGATTATGATTGATTTAATTACATGTCAAATGCACATGCATTTTCAGAATGTCAGAGGGAGACAATAAAAAAATACCACCAAATCGTGAGGAAAGTGGTACCCAATAATAAAGACTGACTCCATCACAGTTACAATGAAATAAAACAAGCATCAGAACATATGTTTTAGTAGATATTTCATTAGTCTATATAGTAATTCACTGAATCCTACTTGATGTAGTTTGATGTTTATGGTGATATTGATGTGATAAAAGGAAACAGTACCTGGTAGTAATCAGTATCAGAATAGATCAGCAGGTTTATAAACAAACTTATCTCCCTTTAACCATGACCATACTTACGGTGACAGCTCAATTTCCAAATAGTCATCATTATCATTCAGAAAGAAGGCCTCTACCACTGAAAGTACATTGTGACATCCATCTTTAGTACATTAAATACACATCTATATTTTTATCCAAATTAGAAGAGCTAAAACAAATTTTAAAATTATTATTTGCATATATCAATATTTCATCTTTGCATGATCTCAACATCAGAAGGCAATACAATGTTTTTTTTATGAATTTCTGTCTGGTTTCAATGATATTTTTGCAAATAACAAGTTTACATCAACTTCTTATCAATATCATTTATCAGACAGGTGTGCATTTAACTGACAATGTCATATAACAGGTAAATATTTACATAATACAGGGATATAACGGACACCATTTTGATGACACTAGCGAAAATAAAATGAAAAACATTATTCTAATTGTTCTCAATATCATGATTTTTGCACAAGGTATTAGCAACTGGCAGACAAACACAAGGATGTGAGATGCAGGTTGATAAAAATGACGGGGATTTTACAGTCTCATTTGTGGACAGGATCTTAGTTACTTGGATTGACCAAAATTTATATGGCTGGTGTTGTCGATGAAGCAGAAGATGTTTACACATCTCAAACACCTCATCTTATTCTACTTGTACTTTCTCAAGAATCTTGGTGTAAAATTTTCTTTTATTTATATTTTCCCCTAATTTTACTGAATTTCTGTTGATATATTGGTATTTTCGTTTTTTTCCAAACAAGTAGTAACAAGTTATGTGTTTATTTTAACTCCTACTAACAAAATGTGGTGTTATGAATGCTTTGGATGACTTTATGACCAGAATGTAACATTTTATGTAATTTTACATCTTTTATGGCTTGTTGAGATCACTGGGTATATTGTCCCCTATCCTCTTCCAGCCCCTCCCCCTCCACGCCAATGTCAACACATGTAAAACAAACTATCTGTCACAATTATCACCATTATTGGCCAGGATCGGAGTGCACTTATCTAGGGAGGAAACCAGACTATCGGTTGAAAACCCATGTGATTTCAGCAGGAGACTTTATTACTTTTCCTTGTCAATTAGGGAAATCGAACCCTGAATATCTATAGATTAAGGTATAGGAAAATCTCAGTACTGCATCATCTGTCTACCACAAATTTCTTCTTCACCATAATGATTTACCCTGAAGCTACCAGCAGCAGCCTATGAACCCTACAATTATACAAAACTTTGATAAAAAAAAAAAAAAAAAGAGAAATATATATATATATATCATACCTTCATATAACCAAAGTTCGTCGCATGGCTCTCCTGGTTTTCCCAATGGAGGAACCGGCTGGTCCCCAAAGAATGGAGCATCAACATGAATGTTGAGATCCTCACCATTGCTAGCAGTACTCAAGGTCATACGAACAGGGTCATACTCCCCACTAAGAGGGCGTCCGTCCCAGGTGTTTGTGATGGAGTACTCCATGATGACACAATTATCCTTGTGATCAGCCGAAGGCTTAAATGGCCTCAGTGATAAATAGTATACTTCTGTAAACAGATATCAGCAGAAAATTAAAAAAAAATTACAGCTAATAATACATATCCATCCACATGATAACGTCAGGTCATTTTCTGGCTCGTTAACCAGGCATACAAACATTTGATGAACAGGTCCCAGGCATTTGTCCATCAGAATGTCATGGTCTTCATTTTCTTCATCTCCATCAATCAGTTTGATTTTTCTTGTGAGGGGGAGGTAAATAGTGCATGCTTGTTCAAAAATGTGTGGGTTTTTTTTTTTAATAGGTTAAAAGTATTGGTTGTAAGTGTCTACAAGGGCATTGTGTATTGGTTCTGTAAGTGTTGTGCATTGGATGATTGTGGTGGGGAGGAGGTGGTGAAGGATCCAGAGGGAATTCAGGCTATGACTGCTAAATCCTTGATTGTACCATGCATCAATTGTTTCGTTGTGAGATGCCATATACTTTTATGTATAATTATATGTACACTGTACATTATCGTGTCAAGTGTGAAAATAATGAAATGTGACTCTGATTTGCTCGAAAAGAACAAGTCTGGCATATTGTCGTGAAACAAAGTGTGGTGATCTAAAACTTATACACCTTATGATAACCTTTGTATAGAAAACTTTTTAAGAAAAAAATGACACAAACTGGTCCAGGAGCCTAACGTTTTACATTTTGGGTCAGCTTTAACAACAAACGATTGTGAACATGCGATACATATCACGGAACGAAGACCATTTTACATATTTGTAAATGTGCAACGCGATTAGATAGCGTATACACCCTGTTTTACCCAGAATTACACACCTGTGTTGACCTTTGTTGTTTGCCGACTGAGCCACCGGAAATGAAAGTAGAAACAGCAGCACCGGTTTATAAACACATGTCCGGTGGGGGATGCCAAACCACACAACATTAGATTGGATTATAAACGGATAGAAGACATTTTATGATATTCAAAGCGTTACATGTATTACTCGTTACTTATATTAAAAAATCCGAAAGTGTTATGATGAAATCTGTGTAAAAATATAATTAATATATCGTGTTTAAAACCATCGATTACCCTTTGTTGGGGCCTAGTCACGTGACGTTAATGACCGTCAACACACGTCTGTTCGCCATATTTGTTGTGATTGTGTACAAACTAGTTACCGAGCGAAAAAGATTGAACTTTGTGTTGTATTCCAGAAATACACAGGACAGGTAACAAATTTGTGATTGTTATATAGATATTTATTGATGACATATTTATCAAATTTAATATTAATTAACGGTGAATTCACAGGTGTAAATTAAAGTTACCTGTCCCGCTATGCTACCGTTCAGTAACAGTGAGGTGTCATGCCGGGTAGTGTTTATCTGTGCTGCAGGACAACACGCTATAAACAAATATTGGCTACTCATGATTCGTAATGGAACGTTTGTTAACGTTTAGTATAATTATGTTTATTTGTAAATTAAATTTGTACAATAAACAATAATGTGACGAGCCGTATACACCGATGTACTATTTAGAGGGGCGTTTCAAATTGTGCATCTGTATACGTTTTCGTTTTCAGATATTTTAGATTTAAGACATTTAATTAGCAAAACCAGAAAGTTAAACTGCCAATGTTTAAGAGGTGGCATGAACTCGACTTGCAATTGTCTCCCTCCTGGTAAGAAGTTCAGACAGTGCCTTGGCTCATCCCTTGGGTTGAGCTTCTTTGAAGCTTATAATCAACTTAACTATCCTAGTAAACCTACTGTCACCATCCTGGTTAGATTTCTAGACATTGTCATCATCTTAGTAGTTGTCACCCTTCCAGTAAAACTTCCAGGTATTGTCATTCTCATGAAAAGACTTCCTGACACTGCCATCCTCCAAGTAAGACATTGAGACACTGTCACCCACTTTGTAAGATTTCCAGACACTATCACCCACCTGGTAAGGCATTTAGACACTACTATCCTGTCCCTCCCAATAAGATATTGATGAAACTTTTGCTCTCCTGGTATAATGTTTCTACATCTGTCTGTCCTCCAGAAACTGATACCCATTTGGTAATACATTCAGACACCATCACCCACCTGGTAAGACTTTAAGACACTTTCACCCTCCTTCTATAATCTTACCACGTCTATCCTCCAGACACTGTCACCCTCCTGGTAAGACTTTAAGACACTTTCACCCTCCTTGTATAATCTTACCACATCTGTCCTCCAGACACTGTCACCCTCCTGGTAAGACTTTAAGACACTTTCACCCTCCTTTTTTAATCTTACCACGTCTGTCCTCCAGACACTGTCACCCTCCTGGTAAGACTTTAAGACACTTTCACCCTCCTTTTTTAATCTTACCACATCTGTCCTCCAGACACTGTCACCCTCCTGGTAAGACTTTAAGACACTTTCACCCTTCTATTATAATGTAACCAGATCTGTCCATACTGAGTTGTGACTGGTCGCATCACGTTACCTCCTGTTTTTACATTAATGTCATATCTTCAGAACTTTCAACCTATTTTGTTCTTAACATCAAGTTCTTTACCTTTGTTCATATTTAGGTTTCATCAGTCAAAACTAAACTTTATCATTTAAAATGTTTTATTTAAGATAAGTATTTCAATAGAAACTCAATAGATTTGGCTTATACACCATTGTATATCATAAACATCAAGTTCTTTACCTTTGTTCATATTTAGGTTTCATCAGTCAAGGCTAAACTTTATCATTTAAAATGTTTTATTTAAGATAGGTATTTCAATAGAAACTCAATAGATTTGGCTTATACACCATTGTATATCCTAAACATCAAGTTACTTTGGTTTGACTTTATGATTAACTCCTTTGGAAAGTTTGTACTTTTTAATGTTTTGCTGACTTTTCAGCTCTATATACATCACCACAATATGCATTACATATTGCCTTTATTGGTAATCCATTGCATTATGTTGTCTAGATGTCAGATCTGTCATTCATAAGGATTGATCTGTTCCAAATTTTATGTATGGGCTCCCCATGGTCCTTTGTTATGCAAGATCAATTTGGTAACTGATCAGAAAGAAAAATAGTATTGTTAATAGGCAAGTCATCGTGGACTATGGTTATAATGGCACTGAGCACGGTTTTATCATAACCTATATATACAGCATCAGCTGGAATAGAACCATAGATATCAGTTTTGTTAAAAAAGAAAACATGCTCAGGGCATTTAGCATATTTTGATAGTACTATGTTTTTTACTCCCAAAAATAGCCTGAATCTTAAGTGATATGTCTATTTCACATTTTGACCTTCAGATTTGTGATTTGACTCCTGAAATTGTCAAATGTCAAGTATTTAGGGTCATATGATTAAGTCATATATATTTCTGGATATTGGTCATGGAGATAGTGTCATCACATAGTGTCCTCCAGAGATAGGAGTATTGTTGACTCGGCTGACATGCCACTTAATACTGATAACGAAATACAACAAATCTTCCTTTTGATTGTGGTATTGATGTCAGAAATCATTTTGGTCAACACAAATTAAATTGTCCCTATTGCTGATAAGAAGGGAGTTTCAAAAGAACAGTTATATGTAGAGAAGTCCATCCTGCTGTCCCTTGATGGTGTCACCTCATTTTGTCTCTCTTGTAAATCAATTTCCAACTGTGAAGTATGTACAGTAGATCGAAAATTTTAGGGCAACAGCTGTTCATCTGGTTTGTGTTTAAGGGTTGGAACAAGCTGTTGCATGCAACATCAATATACACTACAATGGACACATCTATAGACATAAATAGTCTCCAGAGGTTTTTAATAACATGTAATCTTGGAACATCCACACAGCAGGATCTGAATGAAACAAATAAGGCATTTCCTTCCAACATTTCTTATGAAATATTCACCAACTTATTTATAAAGAATTATTTTAAATTTTGATAAATCAGTGTTTCAGTGTGAATTTTAAGGCAAGTTTTGCCTGGGAAAAATTCTGAAAATAAATAAGATAGTCATAACAGGTCATAATTTGTATACCTTCAATTAGCTCATTGTCAGCCTGTAAAACATCAGACTTTACAACCACGGCTGGAAACCTGAGGTACAATGTTTGTGGTTCAAGCCCTAACTGGTGATCTCTATGTTTCTCGGAAAGCTGTGATTGCAGACCATCCAGTGCTGTCGTGGTAATGTCCTTGGACAAGACAATTATATGTCTGAATATAGCTTTAGAAAGTATGTGATGTACCTCCCTCATGGTGTTTAATGATGTAGCCACCAGCTGCTACAAGTAGACATCACCTAAAAATGACCCTTGTCGTTATGAGGATTATAAACCCTACCTACAAGCAAACTGTGTCCATAGTAATCAGATGCAATGTAATAACCACATATGTAAACATCTACACCTGATAGCTGTAACTTAAAGATGAAGATTTATGCTGGTATTGCTATGTCAAATGCTGCTTTGAATTCTCAGTGATGTATTAATGGCGCTTGACTTGAGATATAACCAACATGATTTCTACATTATGTAGGTAATGATGTGGTGTATATACTGTACGCGTACTTGATAGAATAGTATACTGTTTTATATCTTTCTACTTCTTGTCTGAATTAATTGATAATTATCTTGCACCTTGTGGCTATTTTAGAAGGATTGTATTGAAGGTCAGAGATGATAGCCATTGTAAACACATAGTGTATGGTAGTAGCTCTGTGCCTGGAGACAGTGGCCATTGTTATCTCTGTACCTAGCCAGGGAATGTTTGTTGTTGCTACTCATCTTCATCAGGTAGGAGTCTTTATCATGATGATAAACACCAGTGTTATGGTTACTTGTGTTTGTAAGTCTATAGAAACACTGGGTGGTGTTCAACATCACATGAGCTACATAGTAAGGCAGAACCCTTTTATTCTGATTCCAATTTTCTGGAGAACTTCCATTTCATGATGCTTATTCCCAATTGCAAATTCCAACTTGATCA